ACGTTTCATACCAATAAATTTAGAATTTGTTCAAGCCAGGTATACACGAACTCTAAGAGGTGTGTTATTAAGGCACTAATTGACAATTTAAGGTGAAGTATTGTTTACCTTTGCGTCAGTTAATGAACCTGGAACAACGAAGATGAGTCTGACCACGAATGAAGAAGCTGCCTTACTCAGGAGGCTGATTGTGTCTTAGTGCTTCTGACGTGAATAACACCCATCCTTTTATAATCGACCTGGAATACGGAATAGTAATTGGTGTAATTGTCACTTAATGGAATCTCCGGTAACCTTGAGAGGATGATCTTTGTGTGTGTGTGTGTGTGTGTGTGTGTGTGTGTGTGTGTGTGTGTGTGTGTGTGTGTGTGTGTGTGTGTGTGTACTCACCTAGTTGTGTTTGCGGGGGTTGAGCTCTGGCTCTTTGGTCCCGCCTCTCAACCGTCAATCAACAGGATCAGGTGTGTGTGTGTGTGTGTGTGTGTGTGTGTGTGTAATTACCTAAGTGTAATTACCTAAGTGTAGTTACAGGATGAGAGCTACGCTCGTGGTGTCCCGTCTTCCCAGCACTCTTTGTCATATAACGCTTTTGTGTGTGTGTGTGTGTGTGTGTGTGTGTGTGTGTGTGGGTGTGTGTGTGTGTGTGTGTGTGTGTGTGTGTGACAAATCCTGCAAGCATAAATTCGTCGTTATCATATCCTCTCGCATAAGTTATCTCACCGTGTGAAACAGCATGACCAATTATTAAGCATTTGTCTGGAAACATTAGTAGAAAACACACCTTTCCAATTATCTATAAAAACCTAATCTAAACTAATCCTAACATAGCCTAACCTCTCGATAGTCTATCAAATCTGAGGCAGCAGCACTTAACTGAGGTTTCAGTCATCGTGGAAACGATTAACAGCGAGAGTGAGGAGGAAATAGCCACAGGCAATAATCACCAACCACACACACTTCCTCTGGGAACACGAAGGACTTTGAATTTAAAGGGAAATCGTCGATTAAATTAACGAGTGATGTCGCAGCCGAGAAACGATAACAATGGAGTTTCATTTCTATATATCACAATCTCTCTCTCTCTCTCTCTCTCTCTCTCTCTCTCTCTATCTCTCTCTCTCTCTCATACTAGAAACATACTAGAAACATACAAATATACTAAAAACATACAAACATACTAGAACACAACGTGATTGGACATCCACCGGGATATGTAGTTTACCTGAGAGCCACTAACACTAGTGGCCTCGACGAGGACAAGAAGTCGGCGGCTTGTCGAAGGTCCCCCCCATTTGGCTTGAGGATCTTTTCCAACTGTACTTTAAAAGTTAACAGAGTTAACCTAGGTGCGATATAGATATACAATATAGATATACAACCTGGATATATAACCTAGATATACAACATAGGTGAGTTGGGTTCGTGACTAGAGGCACAAGAGTGAAGAAACTTGTAGCAGAACCTTAAAATAAGAATAACAATGATAATAATAATAATCTTGATTCTTGTCTTTAATTGTTTCAAATTTTTTTTGACATATAACATCGACAAGAGTTTTTTCCGAGGCTGTCTTCGCTATCTCATCAACTCCCTCATTCAACAGTATTCCCACATGTGAAGGGATGCACATGAATCTTACTTTATACCCATTTTTGTCTAATGTCTTAACATTCTCTCTCTGCCCGACAGACCACTGGAACATTATCTAACACAGTGCACAGTTACAAACCCATTAAGATTTCAACTTAGATTCAACAGAGCAGAAGAAGTTGTTAAACACATATGGCAAAATCTTACTGAAGCGACCATACGAGTAATAAATACTCATAATCCGCCCAAGTAAAACAGAAACAAGCAACACTTAGTGGGCCAGCCAGAGGCTTAGGGCCCGCGCAGGAATATCCCTGCAAAAAAAAAAAATCTCTCTCTACACTCGATCACAATATTCTGGTATACTGGTCGTCTGCTATTGAAAGATTCCAACGCTCCTTTACTGTCTATAAAGAAACAGGCATTTTTACCACATTTGACTACTTACTCAATACCCAAATGAGCCATAGAAACATTAGATATAATTTTGTTCAGTGTTAGAATAGTTAACAAATAGAATGCATTAGGCAGTGATGTGGTGGGGGACAGACTCCATACACAGTTCCAAATGTAGATATGATAAAGAATCTGTACACAGGTTGATTGACACTTGAGAGGTGGGGGCCAAAGAGCCGAAGCTCAATCCCGGTAAAGACAACTAGGTGAGTACATGCAGCCTCTCCCCTAAGTAAAAAATAGGCTGCCTCTTCTTCAGTGGTAAAACACACTCAATGACTCCCTGAGTGGTTAAACACTTGCAGCCTTGTTTACGGTGGTGAAATGAACTTCATCCAAGTAATTATTAATCATATTCTCAAGCCGCCTATACCCGTCGAAGCCGTAAATGCCAAAACAATGTTAATTAACCTATAAAATCTACCTAGAAACAATCATCAGAGCAAATGAAAGTGGAAGTGGGGTACATTTGACATTCCTGCCTTCGTCGAGGCCACTAGAGTGTTAACGGCCCTCAAGTAAATTCAGGTGAATATTCCTTTTTAGCTAAATATACTACAATGAAAGGTATAAGTAATATAGAAAATTATTTACTCCGTTTCCTTAAAACAAGAAAAAGATTTCAAGAGAAAGGGGGTTCAACGAAAGTACAACCTTTAGCTGGAATTCAGAAACAAAAGAAGTTAAATATGCGATGCGAAATTGTGTAAGAGTCATTTAGAGCGATATAAGTGCCTTTATTCCACGTTGTAATATGTTCGCTCGTGAAAGGACAGTACGCTAAAGCCAAAATAAAATTTGATAAAAGAAATACTCTGTTAATAAATATTGTCACATTTACCACCTGACAAACGGCACTACAGCTCTTTGTGAACTTGGATCAAGGCAAGTGCAAAATTTCCCAATCGTAAAACAGGAAGAGAAATTAATTTGTCAGCTCCTTTACGAGCAATTCTCACAGACCTCCCTCTCACAGACCGAGCGAGGCAGGAAGGCATAATTCCCCCATTTTGCCAGATTCCTGTTATTGAGTTGGCTTCAGTCAAGCCAGGTCAATACCCAGGAAACTGGCTTGAACCTAAGTTCAAGCTAGCACTTGGAGTGAGAAAATCACAAGTCAGACGCAATAACTGCTCTCCAACCCTGAAGAACAATGAATTTACTGCAATGATATCACGGCTCTGGCATTGGTAATGCTGTTATCTATATCAGGATAAGCCTCACTCCCCCTTCTTACAAGAATGTAAGGAATTTTATATATATAAGTAAATAAAAAAATAGATCAAAGATGACATTTGAGGGATGAAAGGTGAGGGATGTATAAATAAACGTTGCACCGACGGAAGATAATTATTCTTTCACTTCCTCCCGGCTCCTCTCGTGCATCCTGCTCTCGCACAAGACAGCACATATATGACTTATTGCTTATAGTCACTATTTCGCTTATAAATAAGTATATATGTGACATATTCCAAGATATATATTTTTCAAGATTTTCTATTCTGTTTTCTATTCGGCTTTTCAAGGTAAACTCAAATATTCACAATAAAATAGTATGTCACATATGCACTTATTCATAAGCAAGATATTGACTATAAGCAAGTGCGAGAACCATTTCCTATGGACCCCCTGACTCCTCTCACACCCTCCGGGTCCCCTGACTCCTCACCTCCATGTCTTTTGTCAGCTAATGCTCCTTCCTCCTCCTTCATTGCTCTTCCCTCTTTCTTCCTAATCCCTCTCTGCTATTATCTTATCGTCTCCGTCAGCATACTATCATCCCCGTCATTATATTTCCTTCTCCAGCACTACGCCTATTAATTCTTTCATGTCCGTGGTCTGCAATAAGCTGTCTTGCATTATAAGGGTTTGGGTTTCTGATGCCGCATTGATCACATTATGCAGCTCAGCAACTTCCTCTGCTGCTGCTGTTTCAACCCTGCAGCATACTAAGCCAAACTCGCACAAATTTAGGCAGAAAACTTTTACTTCTTGCATGTGCAAGATCCTTGAGAGGATTGTTCTCAGTAGGCTAATGATGCAAATCACTAGCCTACTGATTTGGAGTCAACTCACTCCGAACCTGTAGGGCTTTCTCCCATTGGAGGACACAATTATGCTTTGCTGAGTACTTCATCAGACAGATTGATTGACTGATGAAGATTAAGCCACCCAAGAGGTGGCACAGGCATGCATAGCCCATAAGTGGTAGATTTTTTGCAGTGAATGCGATCCTTGGTTGTGAAAAAAGATGCATCAGGCGGGACCCAAAGACTCATGTAGCTTTTCTTGGGCTTCAAGCTGATTTTGACTCAGGTAATAGAAACTCATTCTGGAACAACTAGCATTTTTGTGGGCCAAGGGAGATTTGTTGAAATGCATTAGGGGGGAATTTAATTAGAACTGCGTAGTGTGTTAAGGAAGTTAAGCGTGTGTTTACACTGGCGGGCGTTGTTCCTATGAAGCCTATATTATGTCAATCACATCACCGAACTTAATAACATATATATTTATGAACTTCACTTATTAACTATATGCCTGCTAAGCAGAAGTTTTTTAGCTGTTAATAGGGTTATATTGTGGTTTTATTAGAGACCAATAATTTGTATACGGAACGTACAATTTTTTAATATTTTTGTGTCCGAAATGGTTACCATATGTGTTATGCGTCTTCAGTGCCAACTAACTTGTATTCGTTGAAATACGTTTATTGAGGAATAAATACTCACAAAGGGATGATCGAGGTAGCTCAAGCTACTTTAACCAATTCTGCACAACGTGTTCATTTATATAGTGGGCCAAATATGTTTAATTAATTAAAAATTAATACGTATAGTTTTGTAATGTAATCTGTAGTATATTTTTGACATCATATTATTCTATCGAACCTTATGTGAAATGTCGACAAAATTTCGTGAACCAACCGATCGATCATTCAAAACAACAACAACCATTTCTGTTTCTACAGCCAATCGTTAGGTGGAGGAAATCTTCACCTAATTTGCACGTATCGCGTAGAATAAGAAGAAGAAAGAGGAAACCTTCACACAAACTACACGTATCATACGGAAGAAGAAGTCTGACTTACTCAGAAGGAGTGTCTCCCAAAGAGGATAACTCCTGCAGTCATCGAGAAGGAAAAGCCTTTGCAAAGCAAAGTCTGGGCTCATTGGCCCTGTGTGGGTCGCAGTTGAGAATTTTTTTATGGTTTGTCTTGCAGAGATTTTTGTGAGGTAATTTGAAATTTAATAAATTAAATTTTCCTTGGCAAAAGTTTGTAATGATGCCAGAACATGGAAATTGGCTAGTCTGTCTGATTACAAAAGCTACCAAAAGCTACTCAAAGCTTCCTAGCATTACGTAAGTAATGAAGAACTATGATATAATAACTCATTATAATGTTGGTGCTGAATATAGAACATGAAAAAAACTTATTTTTACTCTGAAATAATGTCATCTATAACGAAATTGGGTTCATCTAATTACCCAAAGCCGTAACATTGTCTCTTGGATCATTGATTTCTTGTGGCGTCACCTGCCGCTTAGTTTAGTCTAATTTCGCTATAAAAGTGATATTGTTTCTGAGTAAAAATCTGATTTTTCATGTTCTACATTCAGCGCCAATATTGTAGTAAGTAAATATATCATATTTCTTCATTACTTACGTAATGCTAAGAAGCTTTAGGTAGCTTTGAGTAGATTTGGGTAGCTTTGTGTAATTAAATGGACTGGGCATGCCTCAGATGGGTATGGTAAGGTAATTATCTGAAGAAAGTGCTAAGGCAATAGGGCTACAGCTGGATGAACTGACGTTTAAAGTAGGTTATAAACGCATTGCAGTCAAAAACTTTGCACAAATTAGTTTAATTAACTCATTATGGCTCCATACCCATCTTGTGGATGGGGGCAGAAAGGTTATCCACATAATGAACTCAGAAACTGGACTACAGTTCCTGAATCTAAGAAATTTACATATTTGGTGAACTGGTTAGTCATTTATTTATTTATATATTGTAATATTTACAAGTACAATGGATGATTTTTTTAAGGCTTGGTGCATGTAAAGCAAGTAAAAAAACTTGCTCATAGTATAATCTTTTACAGTACTGACAATATTTGTTCTTCACACAGTTGGCGAACTTGAGAGAGTTGGTAATTGAGACCAACCCGCTTTCGAGCTTGAGAGAGGGTTGGTCTCTTCACTCAGATCCAGTATGGGCTATGCCTCTACCACCCAAAATGCTATGCATGTTAGTGGCTTTGCAAGAATGTAAAAATACCAATCTTATTTAATCTCACACACACCCATTATACCTTCTTGTAAATAAATATTCTTATTATTATATAGGGGAAAGTTTGTTGATGTGCTAGCTAGGTAATTGACAGTTTGATTTTTGTTAGTTCAGTACTTGTACAAACTTTTCTTGGAGAGGGGTTGAGTGTTTTGTAACCTTTTGAGGCTTTTGCAGGCTTTTCACCTTACACTGGACGATAACTTACACTCATGAGTGCTCCTTGCCTGTTAGATGTGGAAAGAGATATTCAAAGGTTCTTGCCTCCAATGAGTGCTCCTTGCCTGTTAGATGTGGAAAGAGATATTCAAAGGTTCTTGCCTCCAATGGGTAGTGTATCTCACAGGTGCCCAGAAAAGAACTTTTCATTACACTCTACATTCTATTTTTTATTGTATTGGCATGCTATATGTTTTTAGGATTTATTTTGAAATTGGTACTATACTGTATCTCTATTAGTATTTTCTAGGCATAAATATATAAAGGATGGTGAAAGGAATAATAATTTAATATAATATTCTGTGTTTAATTATTACTTATATTTTCCCTGATTTAATTGTTTGGCTGAATTAGAAATTCACCTTGGGTTGGGATGGATGAAATTTAATCTTGTGCCAAACTCAGATTTTGTATTACTAAAGTGAGAAAGTTGGCAATACTGGAATATTAGCTGTACTGCTATTTGGGCTAAAAATGTAACAGGTATTAAAAATGTAACAGGTATTTTAATAATTTATGTAATATTTATAATTACGGAATGAAACTTAAATTCAAATGAATTTAATTTGAGAAGATATATTTGTCTATTTTTGTTATTTTTTATATTTTTAGTTATGTATTTTTGTTTTCATTAAAATAGTCTCAAATTTATTTTTCAGCTCAATTACCTGCTGCTATAAGAGTTACCAGATCATATTTGATCGATCACCAGAATCGATCCCAGAATTCTGGTGCTTCCCCTAGCTGCTGTCAAATTTCTTCCTTCTGTTGAGGCTCTGGGATCCAATAGGCATGTAGAGTTCCTTCCTGGAGTTTCATTGAAGTTGCAGTAGAGAGGTCCTTGGCTGCCCTTATCACACATGTTCACTTGTCCTATCTCAGTACGAGCCTGACACTTTTCGAGTGTAACTCAGCTGTGAAATTGATGGTGTTTCTGAATTGGATCCATCCTCATTTTTGTGTGGGTTCTTTCCCATTTCCTGCCTGTGGTATGAGGTCCTGGTTGCATCTTAAATGGCAGACAACCATTAGTTTTGTTTGGCACATGCACTGTTTTTTCAGGGTTTTCCTTGGAGAATCTTCCTTTGTCTGTCAACTGTGAGCATTTCTTCATGTCATGTCAGGGCTTGACAATTCCACATCCAGGTGCTCATGATACCTTGGGCATTGGTGGCAGTGCGTTTCAGGGCTTTCTCTTGCTTAACAGTAGTTCTCTGTTCTTGTGGGCTGCAGAAGCTTATTCCCAGGCAGTTCCATGGGGATCTCGATCCCCTTTCTGAGTTATCTTCATTTTCTGCTCTGTTTGTTGCTTCATTCTAGTGGGATGCTCACTTGTCTTTGCTTTGTCACTTCACTCTTGTGGATGCTTGTGTAGACTACTAATTTGAGATTCACATCCATGCATGTCTAGAGAAGATATGGAAAATGTAGAAAAAGAGGGCTAAGGAGATTAATATTAAAAAGCTTACTGTCCTACTAACTCTGCTTTACAATTTTGCAGCATTATGGAGAACCAACACCATCTTCCTCCAGCAAATCATCCAAGGCATATCTGATCCAATTCAGAGAATAGAGTTTTAGTATCCCTCAAGAGCTGTTTAAGACAAAATGTCACCAGTCCCTCTTAACAAACTACTTCCACTAAATCTTGCTCAGTTGCACTTCGTGTTTTTCATTCATAATCGAGCTATGCTTAAGTGCACTTAAGGAAACTTATGTTGAAATGATGTACTAAAAAAAAACATGAAAGAAATTCTTGGTAACAAATCTGAGATTTTATGGGTAAGCATATCAGTATTCTGTATTGATAAGAAATTCAAAACAATCTTATCTAATGAGACAATAGGTTCATAATGAAATGGATTTCATTTGTATTATGCATGTCTGAAAAGCACAAAAATGTACTCTAGTCACACATTAGAGAACTAATTCAGAATAGGAACCACATATGTATTATGAGGTTCATAAAACTTCAGAGATCTTCTTCCATTAAATAGAAAATTTGATTCAGAAAAACATGATACGTAATACAAAAGAGCTGCTATATGAGTGTTCACTGTGTCAAAAATGTTTTTCAAATAAATCGTATCTTGTAACACACATGAGAGTCCACACTGGAGAAAAACCATATCAGTGTTCAGTATGTCTAAAATTATTTTCACAAAAATCAGCTCAAGTACAGCATATGAAAATCCATACTGGAGAGAAACCACATCAATGTTCAGAGTGTCTAAAACCCTTTTCGCGGAAATCGGCTGTAGTACAGCATATGAGAGTTCATACAAGAGTGAAACCTCATAAATGTTTAGAATGTCTAAAAAACTTTACACAAAGATCCTCTCTAGTACAGCATATGAGAGTACATAGAGGGGAGAAACCATATCATTGTTCAAAATGTCAGAAAAACTTTTCAACTAAATCAGATCTAGTACGGCATGTCAAAGTTCATAGTGGATTGAAACCATATCAATGTTTAGAGTGCCTAAAACACTTTTCAAATGAATCAAATCTAGTACAGCATATAAGAATTCATACAGGAGAAAAGCCCTATCACTGTTCTGAATGTTTAAAACACTTTTCAAGTCAGTCAGCATTAGTACGACATATCAGAGTTCATACTGGAGAAAAACCACATCAGTGTTCAGAGTGTTTTAAATACTTTTCAAATAAATCTGATCTAGTGAAACATATGAGAGTTCACACAGGAGAGAAACCATATCAGTGTTCAGAGTGCCTGAAAGTATTTTCAACTAAAACAAGTCAAGTACAACATTTGAGATCTCATACAGGCAAAAAACCATATCAATGTTCAGTGTGTATAAAAGACTTTACAAATAAATCAGATCTAGTAAAACATGAAAAATTTCATAGACAAAAGAAACCATACCATTGTTCGGAGTGTTTAAAAGGTTTTACAAATAAATCAGATCTAGTAAAACATATGAGAATTCATACAGGAGAAAAGCCATATAAATGTACAGTGTGTCTAAGAGACTTTTCTCAAAATTCAAATCTGATAACACACATGAAAACTCACACAAGAAAGAAACCTTAAGTATTCAGTTTTATTAGCTATGTTTTCAGCAAGGGCATGGTAATATAGGAACAATAATATTGTTTTATGGGTTGGGTAAAGCTACTGTTTGGTCTTAAGTCACTATATTATAAAGTATAAGGTAACAATATGGTATATTGTCCTCAACATCCTGAATATTTGTGAACATGGGCTTTCATAATAACTTTTCTAGGATTTGATTATCTCTTTGACTTGTATATCCTTAATGTATTATAGAAATTGTAAATTAAACTTTTATGGTTTTGAGCTCAAGTAATCAATGAGTGATCAGGCAAATTCCTCTTCTTACTACCTTCTAAATCATCTACAGCATGTCCAAATCATTGAATATATATATATATATATATATATATATATATATATTTGAATCTTTGACATATATATATATATATATATATATATATATATATATATATATATATATATATATATATATATATATATATATATATATATATATGTCGTACCTAGTAGCCAGAACTCGCTTCTCAGCCTACTATTCAAGGCCCGATTTGCCTAATAAGCCAAGTTTTCCTGAATTAATATATTTACTATAATTTTTTTCTTATGAAATGATAAAGCTACCCTTTTCACTATGTATGAGGTCAATTTTTTTTTATTGGAGTTAAAATTAACGTAGATATATGACCGAACCTAACCAACCCTACCTAACCTAACCTATATATATAGGTAAGGTTAGGTTAGGTAGCCAAAAAAAGCTAGGTTAGGTTAGGTTAGGTAGGTTAGGTAGACGAAAAAACATTAATTCATGAAAACTTGGCTTATTAGGCAAATCGGGCCTTGCATAGTAGGCTGAGAAGTGAGTTCTGGCTACTAGGTACGACATATATATATATACTGTATATATATATATATATATATATGTCGTACCTAATAGCCAGAACGCACTTCTCAGCCTACTATTCAAGGCGCGATTTGCCTAATAAGCCAAGTTTTCATGAATTAATGTTTTTTCGTCTACCTAAAAAAAATTGACCTCATACATATGAAATAGGTAGCTTTATCATTTCATAAGAAAAAAATTAGAAAAAATATATATTCAGGAAATATATTAGGCAAATGAATATAGGCCAAAAATATCTATATACGATATATATATATATATATATATATATATATATATATATATATATATATATATACATACAGTATATATATTTTGACTACTGATTTTGGAAGAAACTGGAGACAAGACTACATGTACTTGGGTGCTAGATAATTAGACTACCAACACAGATTTTACAAAAGCATGACAAAGAATCCTATATTAAAATGTGTAGATAGCCTTTCTCTGTCTGAACATTTTCAAGTCTAAATAAAACTACTCAAAATTACAAGTCTTTATATTCCTTTGAATTTGAGGGGAAGAGAAAGTGGTGTCAGTTGATGAGTTGATGGATGCTTACGGTTATATTGAGTTATGTTGACTTGTAGCTTATTTCCTTCCTGAGAAGGTATGACAGGGGTTTTCAACCTTTTCCCTCGATGTACCCTTTGAGCATTATTAATGTCATTCATACACCCCCTGTAATGATAACTAAAAAAATACGTAGAACAATATTGTTGTGTATATTTGTAAATAGCATCCACAATGGCATCTACATAGCAATTAAATAATGTGTGAAACACAAATGACAATTTAAATGAAAATTATAGAACAAATATCATTCACCTCTGGTTGTGTAGTATTAATGTCAAGGAATTTGGACTGTACTGGGTTTTAATTGTACAAAAAGTATGTAAATAACAATCTTTAGAAAATATTTCACACATGAACTGCAGTGAAAGAAAAGGAAAAGTTTCAGCTGTTATCTGATAACTTACCTGAAAATATTACTAATACTGCCTCAACTGCAATGGGAATTGTTGGGTGTGTTTCCTATCACCTAATGTCCTGATCAACTAGCAGTAAATAGGCAACAAGGAGTTAGTTGGCTTGTTGTGGGGTTGCATCCTGGGAAGGGTCATTAGTTCGACCTTGGGGGGTAAGGGGGGAAACTTGATATAAACCTAACATGTATACAGTACTGTATATACGTTGCCTGCCTGTCCCCCAACACAATTAATTATAATAAATATAAATTATACACACAGGCTTCGGCTTTTAAGACAGCCTACTGAACTAAAAGTAGAGGTTGATACCACAGTAAATTAATATGGCCAAGTTCATAAAGCAAAGTGCTCTCAACAATAGGCTGTTTAGATTTCTGTGCTCAGATATAGATTCTGATCATGAAAACACCTGGTATCACTCAGGTTCTGTGGTAATCGTGAGAACATGTCCTGAGAGTTTGTGAACTACAGGATGAGCTAAAAGAGCTCATTCTGTAGTTCATGACTGGAGCTCCTGACCTAACTGGACAAATGTGGTGAGTGGGGGTTCAGCAAGGTTCCATATTGGGTCCAACCCTTTTCATTATAGACAGTAATGACATAGATGAGAATATTACAAACCACATCAAATTTGCAGATGACACCAAGATTTATGGTAAAGTAGAAAAATAAAATGATACTGAGGCGTTACAAGAAGATCTACATGAACTCTACAAATGGTCGGAAGATTGACAAATGGTTTTTAATATCGAAAAATGCAAGACCTATGTGGAGCATAACAATGCACACCACAGCTACCAAGTCAACATCATTACCTTTGCAGCAAATTGATGAAGAAAAAGACCTTCAAGTCATAATCTACCAATCGCTGAAAGTTGTACAAGTGAGAGCTGCAGTAAAAAAAAAAATGAAAGCCTAAGCCTAGGAATAGTAAAACGAATCATTGTCTTTAAGAAAAAGAAGGTTATTATTCAACTGTTTGATTCTCTGGTGTGCCCCATTTGGATTTTTGTATCCAAGCATGGAGTCCTCATCTTCAGATGGGCATACAGTATCTGCTTTGGAGAAAGTCACTGGACAACAAAAATTATCCTAGAATTAAGTCTACTCTCATATCAAGAATGGTTGAGAGCTACAGGGCTAACAACATAACTCGACCTCACACTAGGCTGTTTAAAGCAGCGGCCGTCCTTCCCAGATGCATTCATCAATTTTAACCACCTGTGTATTAAAAATTGGTTTGTTCTCATATATAAATTAATATTATACATAAAAGTTCTCTGTATAGTTAGGCATAGGTTAGATGTTTAGGTTCTGTTGGCAATTATTTGTTTTTGAAATACAGTACGTGGGCAACCCGTCCTCAGACCAAGCCTATTCCATCCAGCGGTCGACCCCACAGACGCATTCATCAATTTTAAGTTACTGTTCAATAAAGATAGTAATTTTCTCAAATATAATTTAGTACTACAGGTATTATATATTAGCAATTGTGCATATTTCGGCACTGGTAAAGTGTATAGGTTCTGTTGCCGACTATTTGTATTTATAGTACGTGGGGTGAAGCATTTCTTGTATATATATATAAATAAATAAATAAATAAATAAATAAATTTACAGCGTTGTAGTTCAAACAAAAGCAGTCTCCGTGGTGTAGTGGTAAGACACTCGCCTGGCGTTCCGCGAGCGCTATGTCATGGGTTCGTATCCTGGCCGGGGAGGATTTACTGGGCGCAATTCCTTAACTGTAGCCTCTGTTTAACGCAACAGTAAAATGTGTACTTGGATGAAAAAACGATTCTTCGCGGCAGGGGATCGTATTCCAGGGACCATAGGATTAAGGACTTGCCCGAAACGCTACGCGTACTAGTGGCTGTACAAGAATGTAACAACTCTTGTATATATCTCAAAAAAAAAAAAAAAAGTCGTCAGTGAAGCACTTGTTCCGGAAGTATTCGGACGTCGTCAGTTGTGAGTCGTGTGTAAACCGTTTTTCATTCATAAACAGTAGGTTTGATGGGTGCATGGATTGGAACTTGGGTCTTTGTCTAGAGGACGGGCTCACATGGGTGAAGCATTTATAGAAGTGAAGCATTGTGGTTTGAACAGAGGACGTGAGCGAAGCACTTGTTCAAGAAATGTTCGGATGTCATTGTAACGTACGATTATGTTACGTTGTTGGGTTGATTAGATACACAGTGTTTAGTGAGTTTCATATTTATTTAGTAGTCCTGGATACAGCAGTGTCGTAGACGTTGAGACGAAGCCTGGAGCAGAGCAGAGAGCTAAGTGAGGCCGGAGTCGTGGAGCTCTATGTGGTAGAGGGTGGCAGCTCGATGCGGTCGTAGTCTGCTGTCTGCTCTGTGTCAAAGCTGTAGCGTCTTGGGTCGATTAGAACTGTACACGCCGAGTGCTACATTGTTGACTGGAAATTGAACTGTCCGCTATTCAGATGATTGATGAAGATTAAGCCACCCAAAAGGTGGCACGGGCATGAATAGCCCGTAAGTGGTGGCCCTTTTGAGCCATTACCAGTATCAAGAGCTGATACTGGAGATCTGTGGAGGTGTAAATGCACCCTGCATGACGGGAGATGTCTCCCTTGTGAATGTGTTAAGATGAAGATGAAGCCACCGAAAAGATGGCACGGGCATGAATAGCTCGTAGGTGGTGGCCATTTTGAGCCATCACCAGTATCAATAGATGATACTGGAGATCTGTGGAGGTGCGACTGCACCCTGCGTGACGGAAGATGTCTTGTGCAGTATCAATAGATGATACTGGAGATCTGTGGAGGTGCGACTGCACCCTGCGTGACGGGAGATGTCTCCCGACAGGCCCGCTATTCATCAAATCGCTTGCTTATATGGTGATTACACCTCAGCTTCCTCCAACAAGATGAGAAGGGTACGTATTACCTGTAATTGGGGAAAGGATTGTAGCTTCTGTAGTTAGTGCTAATTAGTACTATTAAGATAATGAGATAATGGAGCGAGTATAAGATTAAGCTACATCATCAATTGTGAGGTTTGTGTAAACTGCTTTTAATTAATTCATAAACAGGAGGTTTAGTGGGTGCATGGAATAGACATTAGGTCTTTGTTTAGAGGACGGGCTGGAATTAACGAGCTTGGATCTTTGTATATGAGGCTGGGCTGAATAACACAGCCCGTCCTCTAAACAAAGACCCAAAAGTGATTCCGTTTACTTGACAAACCACCCCTGTTTATAAATGAAAAATGGTTTACACACGACTTACAACTGATGACGTTCGAACACTTCCGGAACAAGTGCTTCACTGACGAATTTTGTTTGAACCACAAGGCTGTAAATTCTTCACCCACATACTACAAATACAAATACAGCCCGTCCTCCAAACAAAGACCCAAAAGTGATTCCGTTCACTTGCCAAACCATCCCTGTTTATGAATGAAAAACGGTTTACACACGACTCACAACTGATGACGTTCGAACACTTCCGGAACAAGTGCTTCACTGGCGAATTTTGTTCGAACTACAACTCTATAAATGCTTCACCCACGTACTACAAACATCAGCCCGTCCTCCAAACAAAGATCCAAAAGTGATTCCATGCACCCGCCAAACCCCCTGTTTATGAATGAAAAGCGGTTTACACACGACTCACAACTGCTGACGTTCGAACATATCCAGAACAAGCAGCCCGTCCTCCAAACAAAGACCCAAAAGTGATTCCATGTACTTGCCAAACCCCCTGTTTATGAATGAAAAGCGGTTTACACACGACTCACAACTGCTGACGTTCGAACATATCCGGAACAAGTGCTTCACTGACGAATTTTGTTCGAATCGCAACGCTATAAATGCTTCACCCACGTACTACAAATACAAATAATCGCCAACAGAACCTAAACACCTGACCGAGCCTATCCTATGCCTATATATACACAATATGCTAATATATTATAATATTAATTTATACTTGAGAAAATTCCCGTTTTGAATGAACAGCATGTTAATTAAAATTTATGAATTCGTCTGTGGGGTTAACCGCTGAATGTAATGGACTTGAGTCGAGGACGGGTTGACAAATATATATAATCACCAACAAAACCTATTAAACACCAAACCTAGCCTAAACAGTGCTGAAATATGCACAATATGCTAATATATAATACGTGTAGTATAAAATTATATATGAGAAAATTACTATTTTTATTGAACAGTAAGTTAAATTTGATGAATGCGTCCGTAGGGTCGACCGCTGGATGTAATGGACGTGAGTCGAAGACGGGTTGAATAACATTACAACCCTTGGTCTTTGAATTTACTACTTCGGCAGGTAAGCGGTTCCATGGGGTTTATAACCATATGAGTGAAAATTAATTCCCTGTGTTTTGTCCTACATTGCGGCTTGATGAGCTTAAAGCTGTTGGAACACGTATGCGTTACATTTGACCTTTTAAAGAGGTGGTCTGGATCAATATCCTCTAGCTTGTTCATGATTTTAAAGGTCGCGGTATGTGAGATCACCCGTGCCATGTCTCGTTTCCAGTGCTGTTTGTCCTGTGAACCTCAACTGACTTAAGGTTCTGACTTAACCTTAAGTCAGTTGAGCTGGCTTAATTCTGGAATTACTTTTCGTCGCTCTCTGTTGAATTTTCACCAAAGAAGGTATGTTCTTGCATAATAAATGAGCTAAACTAAATAAAAAAACTAAAACCCCGTAACTAGTATAGTTTAATTCCCGTTGTGGCAATTAAAAAAGTGATAATTATAATGACTGTCATTAGTATTAACGTTATATTTAAACAGTATTTGTAATTTCTCTTTCTTTTTAATTAACAATTATAGGTGTTCCTCTATAAGTTATGACCCAGCGAGCTCTGTACATCATCATAACAATAACAACAATCAAGGGTGGTCCGGGGCGCATCCGATCCCACGATCGTCGTCGCCCCTAAATCAACACAACAACAACAACAACAATCAAGGGTGCATCCGATCCCACGATCGTCGTCGCCCCTAAATCAACACAACATAACAACAATCAACGTAACGCTTGAGTCCAATCCTCTCCCACAAAACGTTCAACTGAATCCCTATCTTGTTGAAACATTTGTCACTGGCATTAAAAATACACTAAAAAAGACGCTGGATAGACTCCTAACAAAATTCTTTACACAAGTAAACCAACCACCCTTAGGCTGACCTAACACACCTCATCCACATCTATAGAGAATGACATCCAACCTAACCCAGCTACCATTGCTGTATACAAATCGTTTGAACTGATGCTGGACAAACTCCTAAATAACTACTTAGCATGCCTTACCCAAGTCACTCCCCAGGATGACTTGCCACAAACCCCAACTACAGTCACTAAGAGTAAGAAATCTCCAGCTATACAAACCTCCCAGCAACCTGACACTTTGACTGAAAAACTACATATACCACTCTCCCATGACACATCCTCCAACAACTTGCAGATATTCAACATGCTGCACTACTGGCACGTCAAAGATCAATGCAATCACATCCTAGACATAAAGATCCGAAATATGACAACATAACCCATCTTCAACTAACCTACCCTAACTTAACCTAACCTTATATACATTAACCCTATGTTACTTAATGTACTCTAACTTACCTTAATCTACCCCAAACCTATCTGAATTGTGACTAACTCCCAAACATACGGCAACCCTCAAACTCAGTCTCCTGACTAAACCACATACTTTTCATAGAACAGCAACACTTTGCTATTGCCATCAACACAACTCCTCATCTTTGCCATCCTGAGTCCATTTCTGTTCATATGTTTATTTTTGTCTTTATCCTCACACAAATAGAAGACTAATCTCTGATCTCTGCCAAATCATGAACATTGATGCACCACTGTGAGTGCCACTTCTCTCAATATTACCACTTGTGCAGTCATCGAGAGGAAAAAAATTCATGCAAACTGCATGTATCGCGAAGAAGAAGAAGAAGAAAAAGAAGAAGGAGAAGAAGTGCGTCTTGGCGCAGGCTGACATTTTTAGTGACATTACCTTGTTGTGAAGATATTTTAACAGTTTGATGGAGACAGATTGATTTATGTGGTAAGTTAGAATGTAAATGGAATTCCATTAATTTGTTTAATGTTAGTAATGACCCAGAAAAGCGGAAAATATGCTTTGATGAAGTGTATGTTAGTGACGTAACATACTCATTTATTGGCAGTTATACACAGCTATGAAATAAACATATAAAAGTTAGAATATTAAGCAAAACATTTATAATAATTAAAACTTTGTATCAAACGTGACTGGGCAATAGAGCTTACTAGCCTAGGTATTAATCCAAATAACTTCCTCTAAAGGTCAAATGTGGCACAAGGGGCAATATCCTCAAGCACAACAAACCACAATGTAGGACAGAAATCAGGACATGCTTTTTCATCAATAGGGTTGAAACCACCTATGGAACCACCTACTCACTAAAGCTGTAAATGTCAAAACATTACTGCAGACCACCATTAACTGAAAGTTGCACAAGATGGAGTTCCAGTAAAAAAAAGTTAATGAAACCCTAGAAATAGTTGAACAAACCTTTAACTTTATGGAAAAGAAGGTACAATAATTATTCAACTGTACTGTATAAATCTGTAGTGGACCCCCCTAGTGGGGGTCCACTAGGACAGTGTGTAGTGGACAGTGCATCGGACTCGTGGTCCTGAGGTTCCAGGTTTGATCCTCGGTGGAGGCTGAAACAAATGGGTAGAGTTTCTTTCACCCTGATACCTAGCAGTAAATAGGTACCTGGGAGTTAGACAGCTGCTACGGGATGCTTCCTGGGGGTGTGTAACAAAAAGGAGGCCTGGTCGAGGACTGGGCAATGGGGACGCTAAGCTCTGAAATCATTTCAAGATAACCTATAACTCCACTTCTAAAGACACTTCCATTCTAGGGACTTATATTACAAGCTTCTCGCTTTGCCCAATCGACCAACATTTAGCAGGTTACCTGTCAGCTGACCTGAGTGATGCCTGTGCACTTGGGAATAGATAATAATTGTAATTAGTGGACTAGGATTAATGTAGAATTTCTGGAAAGTGGAGTTCTCAGGGATAAGTTAAGTAACATTAAGAAACACATCTAATTATCTACATTGCAACTAATGAGGGTTTGGAGCAATTATATTACTCCTTAATATAATTGCTACAGAGTATTTATTTTATTATTGAAAATATGGTCCAGCTCAGTACCTGGTTATGAGTGTTTCAAAAACAATAATATCAATACGTATAGAACCAATAAGAATATTTTTTTTCTTTGGGTGGTTATCTCCATTTGCATTACATTTGTACAATGAATTAATAATTAGCACTACATCTTCCCATATATCATAAATGTTAGCAGAAATATAATGCTTGTTAACATGAGAATAACATGTTAACATGAAATAAAATGTAAATACATGTAAATAAAATGTAAATACATGTAAATGCAAGTTATGTATAGGATTCTTGGCTTTAAGGAATTAAATGAGTGGTGGAGGTGGCTTGCTGAATGAGTGAGGCTGCCAATATGAACCACGTACCACCACTGCTGTCCATCACTCACCCACTGTAACTACCTCATTTTGTTATATCAACCCATCCACACTATTTTGTCATTAATGCAAAGATATTCTGTTATTGTATATCACCGATATCATCTGGTGATTGAGTGTATAAGAGTACAGTGTACTGTACTGTATATGGATAATGTTGATGCTTACAACTTTTAGTGCTTTGCATTACTGAAACCTTACAGCTTGTATGCTATGCAAGATTGCATGGTGTTAACGTTCGCAAGAATGATATCGCTGAGTAGTGAATGGCTGAACTGTGGTTTGCCATGATTGATGTGCATCTGTTTAGTAATGCAAATACAGGAAACTAAAGCATTAAGGATCTTTTTCAATATGGCAGACAATCATCAGAGCTGTCTCAGAATGGAAGATGAAAGTTAGCATCTCAAGCCATGCAAAATAATCAGCAGGCCATTTACTTCAATTTACCCGAGGTCTACCATCACTAGTTACCTTGAGAAGAGGAAGTCAGTGGCTTGTTATAGGGCCTCCCATTATTTTAGAAGTTTAAAGGTTAAAGTTACTGTACAATATATAAGAAAAGTAGGGATATATTTATAAATGCATAAATGTTGATACATTTGAAGTTGAGTGCTGGGGTTATATGTGAAGAAGTTTCTTGAAGGAAGAAGTTGATGGAAAGTCATCAGGGTTAAAGAATTTATCATAATCTGATCACTTTTTTATGTACTGTATAGTTTGCAGTCTTTCTGTTAATGTGTCTGTCTTATGTTGAAGAAACTTGTTAGTGTACCAGACAAAATTCATGATTTTGTAACAAAAATTTATGAAATTCTCAAACAAAGTTAATGAATTAAATTCAATCACTTAATAATTCATTCAATCACTTAATAATTCATTCTTTTCTTTTTGCAGCTCATCCTTTCACCAGAAGAAATATGCATAAGAGTACCAAAATCCAGCACCATAAAACTCAAGTAAGTGGTAGAAATCACTGCATGTGTGCTATGTTTAACCACTGTGATGCACTGCATTTATTGTGACATTCTGGCTGTGCACCGAAAATAAAGTTTTCCAAAAACAGTATTTGTTTTTTGTTTTTTTGTATTGCTAATTAGCACCAAGGAAGTACAAAGTCTCTATCTCTTGTAGTTTAGCCATAGCTGCCTGGAGAAGTTGCATTTTTTCGGGAAAATTAGGAGATTTTCTGCATGGGAATAACTTTGATGACCTATTTTCAATGTTTCTCACTGTATTTATTTAGTTTTTTTGCTGTAATAAGCTGTATATATGTGTCAAAGATGGTGTTTGTTATGTATAACTTTGAAAATATACATACATATATATTCAGATATATGCGTGCATAAATACAGTATATGTACACCATGTATATATATATATATATATATATATATATATATATATATATATATATATATATATATATATATATATATATATACATGTATGTATATATATATATATATACATGTATGTATATATATATATATATACATGTATGTATATATATATATATATACATGTATGTATATATATATATATACATGTATGTATATATATATATATACATGTATGTATATATATATATACATGTATGTATATATATATATATATATATATATATATGTATGTATATATATATATATATATATATATATATGTCGTACCTAGTAGCCAGAACGCACTTCTATGCCTACTATTCAAGGCCCGATTTGCCTAATAAGCCAAGTTTTCATGAATTAGTATATTTTCTCTAATTTTTTTCTTATGAAATTATAAAGCTACCCATTTCATTATGTATGAGGTCAATTTTTTTTATTGGAGTTAAAATTAATTTAGATATATGGCCGAACCTAACCAACCCTACCTAACCTAACCTAACCTATCTTTATCGGTTAGGCTAGGTTAGGTAGCCGAAATCGTTAGGTTAGGTTAGGTTAGGTAGGTTAGGTAGTCGAAAAATAAATAATTCATGAAAACTTGGCTTATTAGGCAAATCGGGCCTTGAATAGTAGGCTGAGAAGTGCGTTCTGGCTACTAGGTACGACATATATATATATATATATATATATATATATATATATATATGTATGTATATATATATATATATATATATATATATATATATATATATATATATATATATATATATATATATATATATATATATATATATATATATATATTGGTGTATACTGGCAGCAGGTTTTCTTTCAAACATGTTTCATTGAATATGACCGCATATTCTGTATTTATTATTTTCTGGTTTAGGGCTTCTATCCCTCTAACTATTTTCTTAGCATCAGGGCTTAATTGGAATAGGAGTTCTAATAGAACTCCTATTCCAATTAAGCCCTGATGCTAAGAAAATAGTTAGAGGGATAGAAGCCCTAAACCAGAAAATAATAAATACAGAATATGCGGTCATATTCAATGAAATATATATATATATATATATATATATATATATATATATATATATATATATTGGTGTATACTGGCAGCAGGTTTTCTTTCAAACATGTTTCATTGAATATGACCGCATATTCTGTATTTATTATTTTCTGGTTTAGGGCTTCTATCCCTCTAACTATTTTCTTAGCATCAGGGCTTAATTGGAATAGGAGTTCTAATAGAACTCCTATTCCAATTAAGCCCTGATGCTAAGAAAATAGTTAGAGGGATAGAAGCCCTAAACCAGAAAATAATAAATACAGAATATGCGGTCATATTCAATGAAATATATATATATATATATATATATATATATATATATATATATATATATATATATATATATATATGCCTAAATCTTATAATTGAACATAGCACACATTTTGTCTGAAATATATAATGGTAATCACTCTTTTGCTGCTGTTAAACTTTCAGTGGCTCATAGATATGGCTGCCCTACACGCTCCTAAAGCCATGGCCTTAGGATTGTTTCATAGGCCTAGGTAGCTTAGAACACGTTACTAAGCCCAAAAAAGGAAAGTGAGGGTCTCAGGATGTTTTTTCAAGATGAGGGTTGGTTACTGGAGGTCTGAGGAAGTAAATGTGTGCCCCTTGTATGCATTGGATTTTCGATTCTTATGATATACAGTACTGTACTAAAATCATCATTTCTCGGCTGGCGCATTTTCGGGCAAAGGAGTTTTTTCGGCTGGCACAGTACAGTGGTTGATGACTGCTCACTAATTTGCCACTCACTAACCTGAATCTCTTGGTAACTTGGCCAAAATTATATCTCGAGTTTGAGACAGAGATGTTGTCATCTCTGTCCTGGCTCATCATTTATTGCTTGTTAATGCCAAATACTGTCACCACGTATTCTTCAGCTTCAGTAGAGCCTCTTTCTGGCATTGGGGGATTGATGTTTCTTTGTCACCTAACCTCACCTCACCTAACCTAACCTAACCTAACCTTTTCTACACATGGAAAACATGAATGTTTCTGAGGTGCTGTAATTTATAGTATTCCTCTATTTGGCAGTTGGGGATTTCAACGTCAAAATTTGGTGTATTAAGTGAGAGGACAGGTTGATGTAACAGGGGATACCTGTATAAATGCTTACTTAGTAATTAGAGATATGTAGAGTGCAAAAATGAGAAATTGTATTCAGGAAATAAACTTTTCTTTTTGAATTTTTAACTATATTATAATGTAACAAAATTATCAACATCATACTGCTTCTCAAGTTAATAAGTAGGTTAGGAGGTATTTACCTTGAGAAGATAGGTGAGTTTAAAAAAGAAATGTATTTTAAGATTTTCATAATGCCATGTGTTCATTAACTTTACTTTCCATACTCAACAGCGTCATGAAGAATCACTTCTACCATGCTCCAGCAAATCACCCACAGCAGTATCTTGATCTGGAGTGAGATGTTCCTCATAAGTTTCTAAAGATAAAATGTTATTTAAGCTCTTCATAGCAAACTACTCCATTTAGCTTTTACTTTTACGCATGCACTTTAACAACAAAACTTACAAGTTCATATGAAAGTGGAGCTTCTTCAGTCTTATGCATGTTGTAAGACACCAAATATCAACAGGAAATAAGCTATTCACATTGGAATTAACATGATTTGAAAGACTTTTGAAGGAAATGAACATAAACTCGTATAGGGGAGAAAATGTGTTAGTATTCAGTTATCTAGAAGATTTCTAAAATATATTTGTATAAAATATTTGGGTTTAAAATAAAAATAGATTATGTAAAACATGAGTCATAATACAAAAGAGAAGTCATTTCAGTGCTCATTGTGTCCCAAAAACTTTGCTCGAAACACACATTTAGTGCAACACACAAGAGTTCATACAGGAGAGAAACCATTTAAGTGTTCAGTGTGTCAGAAATGCTTGTCAGCAAAATCAGCTCTAGTTCAACACATGAGAGTTCATACTGGAGAGAAACCCTACAAATGCACTGTGTGTCTGAGAGATTTTACAAATAGATCAGATCTAGTACGACATACGCTTGTTCATACAGTAGAAAAAGCACATCAGTGCTCAGTGTGCTTAAAAGACTTCAAGCAAAAATCGGCTTTAGTGCAACATATGAGAATTCATACTGGAGAAAAACCATATCAGTGCAAAGTATGTTTAAAAGATTTTGCAAATCAGTCAAATCTTGTGCGACACATCAAACTTCATGCAGGAATAAAACCTTATAAGTGTTCAAAGTGTTTAAAAGACTTTTCACATAAATCTGATTTAGTAAATCATATTAGAGTTCATGCTGGAGAAAAACCATATCAGTGTTCCGAATGTCTAAAAGACTTTTCAAATTATTCAAATCTATTACGGCATATTAGAGTTCATTCAGGAGACAAACCTTTTAAGTGCTCAGAGTGTCTAAAAGATTTTTCTAGCAAATCAGATTTAGTTAATCATATTAGAATTCATACAGGAGAGAAACCATTTCAGTGTTCAGTGTGCCTAAAAGAATTTTCACAAAATTCAAATTTAGCAACACACATGAAAATTCATTCAAAAAAGAATCTGTAATTTTTATGTTTCTCATAGACAAACTATTTCCATCAAGCAACTGCACATTGTCCAGTCATAATACAAGGACTAGAATAGTATTTTGCAGTCATCGGAAGGACAAACCCTTCATGCAAACTGCACCTACTATCAAGAAGAAGAATAGTATTTGTGTGTCATTCCAGATCCATTGTTCTGTCTCGAGTCTATAGCATTCAGAGTAACATTATTGTACATTACCTTCCATGAATGATCTATTGTACAAGGGCTCTTTAATTTCTGCAAGCCAGCTATAAAACATGTCAGGGTGTTTTCATGTGATCTAGGTTAATTTCTCCAGTCTCTGGGTCTACTGTATTTGCAAAGTATCATCCATTTGCCTTTCAGTCTTTTATCTTGTATATCATGGTTCCCAGAAGGCACTGTTAGTTGAAGGCACTAATGTTATACAGTACTGTATATGTAATGTCAGTCGCTTTCAACCATCGGTGCCCCCACAAGGTTATTGTTTTTATCACCTATTTGAACATGCTTCTGTCCATAATTACGTTATCAGTTTTACTTTGATATTTTTCAGACATTTACCATTTGATCACGTGTCTGTTTCCTTGTTAACATCTTATCTTGCCATAGTGAGACACTGCTTGGGTTATGTAGCACAGTTGATGGCACTTTACCATAGGCTGTATAAAACTTCTTGAAAGTTAACAGTGAAGGGTGATAAAGTTAATGACAATTATTATTATTTACCCCCCTTATTAAGAGAAAATGTGATTTTATTTATTTTATTTATTATGCACCCCATACCCATCCTGTGGGCAGTGTTGGAAAGGGTTACAGAGGCACATAATGAGTTATGAACTAAACACCCATAGTTCATTTAACTAAGCAAATGACACTCTTGTGAAGTTAGTTACAGAATTGTTAATATTACATACACATATATATTATGTATATGCATATATGTAATATTGCATGTTTGTAATATGCAATATGCATGTATGTATACACACACACACACACAAGAGGAAATTAATTTCCTTGCTGAGTATGATGTTATTCTATGCACTAGGAACACCAATTATATGGTATGCTAGGAACATAAGGGCCATACCATGTTCCCAGAATTTCTCTTTGCTATCAAGCACCTTTTCAAACCATTTTGCCCCATCAGTGGAGCAGAGGGAGCATGTGGGATAATAGATCACCTACTTCCAAGATGAACCACCTGCTAAAACAAAAAAAGAAGTCACAAACAACATTCTCTAATGAATTTTGGCAGTGCACCAACCAAAACTTTGAATAACCTAACTAGGTGCTTAGTTACCTCCCACACCACCATCAGTCAACTCCCTGATCAGCTCGGGATCTCTGTGGAGTGAACACCTCATTCTAGAATCCTGTACTACAGAGCATTTTGTAGGTTCTTGCTGAGACCAATCATCAATTTCTAGTTGAGTGTCTAGCTTTTCTTAGTACTTATGTCCCATGTATGGAGTTACTTCAGTTTGCTTCATATTTGAATCTAGAGTTATCTTCATTGGCATCATTAATGAAGAGTGATCACCACCAGAAATATCTTCTCTTAGGTGTTTGTGTTCTTCCTTTGAGTTAACCCCCTCATGACCCGTGCTGTGTGATATTTCAGGACTTGCTGCAGAAGTGAAGCCTGTGTAGTATGAGTTGTATTGTGATTCTGGCTTGTTAGGAAGGTGAAACTGCTCATCCTAGCCAGGATCCCTTCCTTGATGTGGTGTCAGGGTGGGTAATAGTTTGTCATGTATATCTCACTCGAATCTGGTAGATTCACCTGAAAAATTGTCCATGAGTTCAAATTAGTTGCCTGTACAATGAGGTTCTGTGTATCATTTTGACAACGGTACCAATTTAGTATTGGCTTTAGAGGTACTTATCCTTAAATGGATTAACCCCTGCACTGCACATCTATTAATAACTGACTACTCAGTGGTGAGCAAAAAAAAAAATATATGGTCCTGAAACATTATTTTTCATTTGACACTGTTAGGTAGCATCCATGAAGCACAAAAATCCAAGTATAAAATCTCTACCTCTTGTGGTTTAGCTGTAGTGGCCTGGAGAATTTGCAATTTTTGGTAGAAATGAGGTTAGATGCCAAATGCGAATAATTTTGTAAATGTATTTTCAATGTTTCTTACTTTATTTATTTGTTGTGCTAACAGGTTGTATTGATGTGTCAGGGGTGGTGTTCATTATGTATAGCTTTGAAAATATGAGCATGTACAGATATGAGTATAAATATTCACTCATCATGTATTTATTGTTACTATATATATATAGCTTAAATCGTATAACTGCACATAGCACACATTTTGCCTGTGAATACATGGTAACTACTCATTTGCTGTTGGTAAAAGTTCAATGGCTACCCTGCACATCCTGACACTGGATGGTGGTGTGCCAGACATGATGCTCATCTTTTTAGTAAGGCCCTAGAAGGAAAGTGAGAGACTCAGGATTTTTTTTTTCAAGATAGGGGATGGTTACTGGAGGCCTGAGGAAGCAAATGTGAACCCTGTGTATGTGCAGGAATTTTAAACCTTATGCAGTACCCTAATACTTCCTCTGACGGGATGTGTAGTTTGAACATATCTAGCCACTACATCACATGATGGGATGCACAGTCGAAGGGTTAAACACAAACACTGTTCAGTATATCATATACAGTATTGTTTAATTCTTAAATGTGTGTTGTTATCTTTGAGTATGTTCTGCTTAGTTCTGAACCTGATACTGCTGCTAGCAACTTTGCTGGATGTCTCACTCTGTTTTTCACACTCACTGTGTTAATTTTGATGTTTTTAACACAATTAATATTTGTGCTGCGTCTTTCACTCCCCAAGCAGGTTCAATCTCTTTTTACTCTCAGCTGTGAGTTGTTACCAGCACTGGACATGTGTTTTGGCTGTTTTAGCTGGTTTGTCCAATTATTCAGCCTTCCTCTTGTCCAGTCAAGAGGAATAAGTTTTCCTCTTATTCAGTCAAGCTGAATTAGCCTTCCTCTTGTCTGGTCCCCAGCACCTGTGCTGGTCAGGGTGCCAACACGGTAGAATTCATGCCCTGCAGGTTATTGTGGATGTAGGGCTGGTGTGGTAAGCTTCAGGGGTATCCCCCTGACTGAGGACTGGAGCCCAAAGCCTATTCCTTTCACTTCTGTTTCCTTGGTTTGATGGGAGGTGGCTTTGGTGCAATCCTTGGTGGCTATTTGCCAGAGGCTTTATATCTCTCTCACTGGTTTAGGCTTTGGGGTTAGTATTGCTTGCTGATCCTGGTCCTTCTGTGTCTTTATTGGTAAAGAGACCTTGGTTTTCGGGGTTGTCTGAAAAGGAGCCTTGGTTGCTGTTTGATCTGGCTGGTGGTCTTTTTCCTAGATTGGAGGGCTGTAATGACTGATATATAAAGTTTAGCTTTTGTTGTTATTACTGTAAAGGTTTCTCTTAGTTAAGATACCAGTTTGTTTTATTTGTGTTAATTTTTATGTTTCATTTGTGTTTGAGAGTATGTATTAGTAAATGTGTATGCTTCGGTGTGTGTGTAACATTTTCTCCACATGTTTTTGTGTGGTAGCGTTCCTGCACCCCACAAGGACAGAGAGGTCAGAGACGCTACACACACAGGTTGTGTGGCGTGTGCTCGTGAGGTGCCCACTTCACTTTCTGGGATTATTGACCTCCATTATATTTGTGTGACTGGAATGCTGTTGTTAAATGGATGAGTGAGAAATTATTCCTTGATTGTGCATTGTTCCATCTCCTATGTCTTAATAAATGTAATGCTGCACGCACTCTGATTGTCGAGTCCTGCCAATTCAAAAATATGGTACCAGCCCCATGTGGTTACTCTTGTGTTTGAAGTGTTTATAAATGCACATTGGTTCTACATCCCTGTTTTAAAGTAACGTATCTATACTATAAATAAGAAAGTAAGGACGGGTTTTGTTAGTCTGTATTCTAGAGTACGGCTTTCAAACTCCTGCCCTTACAGGGCTCCCATTATGAGGTAGCTATAGTTTCAACTTAATTTTTCTACAATCCTTTTTTCCTTCCTCAAGGTTCATTGCTGGGTCCTTGTGTTTACTTGGGTTTGCCCATTCTTAAAAGACTTCACACTACCACTTTGATTCAGAATGTTCCAGGTGATCATTGTTCTGCTAAGAGGCAAGGGGCTGCACATCTGAGATGGGTGGTTTGTGATGCCATCCCACCCAGTTCATAGCCAGTGCCAGCAGCTGGTGGCTGTTCAGAGTATTTCACTGTGTTTTTGCTCCCCTCTGGTCACAGTTGTCTGTTATCTGTTACTAGGTTTCTTTATGTCCCTTTTGGGGATGATGCTTGTGATGTCACTTTATCTCCATTTTAGCCAAACCCCCCTTCCATTCAGGCTTTGGCCTGTCAGGTGATTGCTTGTTTCTGAGCTGGAGCCTTACAGTTACAACCTTTGGCTGCCTTTGGTAAAGAGGATTTTGTGGCTCTGTTACTCACTTTGAGAAGTCTCCTCTGGGTTACTTGCTTAAGTGCCTGAAGGGAACAGATTTTAAAATTTTAAATTAATAGAAGAAGTCTTTGGATCTAAGATTATTGAAATCTTTGTATACAGTACTGTATTATGAAATATGTGTTCTTAACTACAAAATTGTTCATTCTCTCCTGACTCTGATTTTCTTTGATTAACCCCTCAACTGTGGATCACATGCTGGTATGTTTGACTGGTGATGTGCATCACTTCCAGGGATGCTTTAGGGTTCTGTGCAACATTTGGAATCCCATGGGTACACAGGCTCACATCCTCTTCCTCAGGTCTTCAGTAAACAGATGCCAGCTGAGAAAATAATTGTAGGCACTCCTCTTCCTTGGTGTGAGGGCCTCACTATTAACGCAAAAAACATACTGTGGTTGCTATGTGCTGTTGCATGCTGTCTGCATGCAGCAGCAGCAGCAGCAGCAGCAGCAGCAGCACACAGCACTGCCATGCAGCTTGCATCCTTGCAGCTTGCACTTGTAGATGGTGAATTTAATAAGAAACTTCAAGAATATAATGGTGATAGTGAGAGAAGATCCTGACTGTGATAAAGACTGTACAAGGTATCTGTGACATGGAGAGTGAACCTGATGCACATGACAATGTTCCCAGTAGAAAGCCTACTCCATCACCACAGCACACAGCCATGGTTTGGTGTGTCTGTGCATCATGCAGTGGTACCTCACGTTCCTTTGGAAATGAACATGTGGAAAAGGATTAATTTTAAGGATTTAGTGAGGAGGATTCTGATGATGATAATAATAATAATAATAATAATAAGTGTTAGCGATATGCGTAGCGATGTTGGGTGCTACTTTGTTTCGTCTGGTACCGAGTGTGTGGAGATTGGCTATGCATGGACAATTAGTTCTCAGAGTATCACACCTACCAGAACTGCCTAGTGGTGTGTAATGGTGCATAAACAGTTATATATAACATGTGTATACAGTGTCGCAACAGTATGTATATAGTATATATGTGTACTGATGTTCTACACATTCTGTGATATAAATACATTATTGACAGCCCAATGCAGCATTGCACTGTTAAAACATGATAAAACATTAATAATACAAAGAAAATTAAATATATCAATGTAAGCAGTTACTATTTGGTGTTGTATCACTGGTTATAAGGTCATCCAACTCACCAGAACTGCTTAGTGATTCATAACAGTGCAAAAGTATGTAGCTAGGTGTATATAACATGTGTATGCAGTGTGATAACAGGAGAAGCATTATGTTTTATTGTTTTAAGAATATAATATGTTGCACATATTGGTGACATGAATATATACTTGTGCTGTTCCACACATTCTGCGATATATATTATGTTATTGACTACCCAGTTGGTATACATTTGTACTGAAAAAATGGAAGCTATTTAAAATATGATAAAAACCCATTATATTAAATGCGCGCGTTTAAATGCCCCTCCCCAACTCCTTTCCGAGAGCAATTCTGTCGGAGCTTGCTGAATAAGTGATCAAGATTTGATGCCACCATTTTGACTTCATCGATTCACTACATACAAAGTAAGTGACAGAAATTTTAGTTTAACTTTCCACTGATCAGGGAATGTTTTTTAATAATAGAACAAATACAATATTTTGTTTTTCCTGCACATGGGGGTGGGGGTTTTCTGTTTAATTCCTTGTGCAGTTGAGGGGTTAAAGTAAGTGCTTTATGTTTTAATTGATTAACATTTTATAATTATTCATATATTTATTTGTATTGTTATAATTCAATGCTAGGACCAGCTATTGTTTTACTTTATTGGTATACTGTACATTAATATTGAGGTTTGCAATAATTGTTGTTGATAATTTAATTATATTTTTTGTATTTAATTGCAATATATTATTTGCAGATGCTGTTGCAAGTATAGGGAATATTTTTCATGCTTTTTTTATACTATCTTCTTCACTACTCAATAAGTACAGCATAAAGTCATTCTTTCTTATGTATCAAAATATTAAGCATAGGTTGTGTAGTCTATATTATTTAGTAAACAAAATAAATTGAAGTTACGACTGAATTAAAGTTGTTTATGATTAGAAGCTGTAATTAAATGTTCAAATATTAAACTTAGTTCTTGTAATTTTTTTTATCTTGAATTTAGAGACCCTATTAGCTTTCAGTGTGTGATTCAAGTGTTTCACATACAGTCTCTATTATAGATCCGATGAGCTATGCTATAATCATTTGAACAGTTATGTGAAATTAAAGGATTGTAATTCCAGTAGGCCCCCTGCTATTGTGTAGCATTTTTTTCACATCCTGAGTCTACTCAGAAAAATAATTAGTACTTATTATCATTACAATGTTTCCCAGTGTCTAAGGATGGGGGAATGCATTACCTCAGAGAGGACAGGAGAGCAATGTGATTTGACATGACTACCCGAGGTGCTCACAGGGCACTGTGTTATGTTTACAATGTCAGATCTAAATAACGAGCTGTATCATAAATTCTGACATCAAGAAAGACAGTTTTGTCACATCACTGCTTTGATCTAATTCTGTACAGCATTTCAGTAATTCTTAATGCTAAAACCTCTCATAAAGTTCATATTCATACCTGATGCTATAGACATAATGTGAGTGCTGTGTAGTTTGACCTCATGCATAATATCAGCAGAAGAGATCTGTAGGAAAGTAAAGTTAAAAATACTAAAAATGATACCCATATGTTCAACATACCATATCTTCTGATTAACAGCATCACAGGAGAATATCACCATTACACACCATCACACCATACACAGCCAAATTCCACTGCATCATAACATTTAGAAAAATATTTAGATTTTTTTTATTTAGCTTAAAAACAGTATAGTAAAATTTAAACACATTGGAAGAAAGGAACAATTGACTGTGCCTGCTATGCATTTGTTTTCCAACAGACACCTGAAAGGAGTTATTAAAACAATAAATCAATTCAGTATTATGTGCCATATAGTTCCTGTAAAAGTATGGACCTGGACTTAAAATATGTTTTGTAATATCTAAGACAGATAAAGTGATGATATTTAGGAGTTATATGTTTGTAACACATCCTTAGCTAAAATAATTTAATAGCAAACTATAATATATATTTTGATATCTTAGCTTCCCTAGCTTGTTTGAGTATTTGCCATACTAGATTACAGTATCTCATGGTATTTGATGGAATAAACCTTAATCTTATTGTCCAAGTAGTCTTGTTTTTCTTACAGTTTGTCATCTTACTTATTAGCCAGACTTTCAGAATTACAATCAATTTAATTTTTCATCAACCCACTTAACTCAACTGTCCTTAGATTTACTCTCTTGTGAATCAGATCTTTAATATATTTCTGCTTATATCTTTGTCACTGTACTGTGATCTTGAGTGATATAAAAGTACTCTATATTTACCTGTGATTTGAATGGTGCTAAATAGCTATCTTGGCTATGCACCTTCATATAATGATTACTTACAGACAGAATAAGATTGTAATGAAGCATAATACAAAAAGTAGGAAGACTTTTCAAGGATAAATTACTTAATAAACAGTCACATTAAGAAATAAATAGGATAATGTGCAATGCTCCTTCATGCTAGACATAGCTACCTTCGTACAAATGAGAGCACGGCTACATCATACCAAATTACCACGTTAAAACATCATTGGTGTTCCAGACCAAGACTGGCCCAATTTCTTCATGAAAGGTCACAAGTAGGATTTTTTGTATTAATCTAAGTATTTGTGTTTTGGTCAAAAGTTAGGTCTATTATTCAGAATAATATTACTTTCTAGGAGCATGTGATAGGATGAATAGCAATAATTCAAGCAATGGTATGTAGATTTCTTTAAATTATGTGAAATCTGTTGACAAGTGCAGTATGAATCATGAATTATTGAAAAATTTATATCTGTGTTTTATATAAATTACTCTAGTATTAGGGATTATAGGATGGCAGATTCCAACATGATAATTCGAGCATCAAACATCATGTAGCTGTCTTACAAACACACTATAGGTATCTGCTAGCAAATCTGGCACTGCTTGAAGTTAAGATCTATGATGTGTGGAAATTTTAAGTAGGTAAATTGCCACTTGCATTCTAATTCATTATCAGAATGTATTCAACTTCGTCCCACCCAAGAGGGAGCAGGCTGGGGAGAGTTCTAATCTGGGTGAGGAAGTACTTCTCAGAAAAAAGTAATGAATCACAATCAAAGGGAATCACAATCAAATTCAAAGTGAACTTAATGCCCTCTGAAGATCTAAAAAATGACTACTGGATTTCAGCTTAGACAAATACAATGTTATACAGATAGGAACAAGAGTGAAAAGACCTGTAGTGCAGTACAGAATGATGGGAAGACAGATCCCTCTAAAAGTAAAAGAAAAAGACCTGGGAAGCTATATAATCACAAATCTCCATTGTCCATGTGGATAACATTTTTATCCCTGCTTTCTTTTCTCCATGTAGCTAAAATTGCATTTAACAGTCGAACCCTCTCAAACTCAGTTGTCCTTGATGACCGTCCAATGTTCTGTTTAAGATTTGTTCCTTTTTCCATGCCAGTGCAATACATATTGGAAAGTTGGCCATGGTGTTTCGACTCAAAGGTGCATAATACTCTTTAATTCCATTTGAATAACCCCTACTAGCTCACTGTATTAATTGTAGTGGTGCCAACCTTACATTTTCCTGATCCTGTACATACTTTAACATGGAATAGTTTATCCCACACTTTAAACACAAGGACAGCATCCGTACGCTTAGGGACTCTATCTACAAAAAATCTATCTACAGGACTTCTGGTTCAACCATGACAATGGGCGAACGTCTGGACACCTCCGCCTGCGGGTCCCTGGATCACTTTCCGTTTTCACGTTTTGGATTTGATACTGCCGTTTGGCATTCTTCTTCAATGATCCAGTTGTACAATGCCTGGCACACATATCGTCTTGGATCATGAGATTGTAGATAGATTTTTTTTGGCGTGTTCTGGCTGGTTCTCTTGGTGGAGTGACGGTGTCCGGTGCCGGCTTGGCCAAGAGGTCCTGGGAGTTGGTGGGTCTTGGTGGGCTCCTGGTGTGCCCTTGGACGTGGTGGGTGGTTGGCTTCTGCTCTGCTGGAAGGCACTGGATAACTTTTGTGTTTTAGCTGGAGGCCGAGTTTTGGTTTTGCTACCCAGTGTTCTCTGTGTGGGGCGGGGCCGGTGCTTGTCACCTTGAGGGACTCCTGGGGCTCCCCAATCATCTACCCCTTTGCGTTTCTTTGCCATGAGTCATATTAGTTTCCAGTGATTGGCGTCACTCGTTTCACGATTAGGCTTGGCATTTCACCTTTCCTGGTTTTGCCATTAACCCATCATGGGTATGGCGGGGTGCATCCGATCCCACAATTGTCATCGCCCCTAAATCAATAACAACAACAACAACAACTTAGGGACTTACTTGCACTTCAGAGACATCACATATGCTCATGTTGCTCATCAGATGCCCTTACCCTTCCTTCACCCCCTTCCCTTCTCTTCTGGTCCAGAATTGATTCACTGTCCATTTGATAGTGCCCCCCCCCCTCTGCCTCTCTACAGTCTGTTACCAGAAGTGGCCCTTCTCAATGCATGGTTCCAACCAGTTCCTTTTTCTGCACACCCAAAAAGAGTACACACCCAGCAAATTTGTGTGTTAACTTTTCTGGAGCTGAAGAGATTTGTTCTTGCAATAATGGTTTGTAGTGGTATATTGTGATGCTTAGCTTCCATTGTACTGGCAGTTTGGTAAAGTTTAAAATTTTTAATCATAAAGAAGGCTTCACAATGGTATTTGAGAATGTATTTCTGTGTAATAATCTAATTGTAATTACCTGAGTGTAGTTACAGGATGAGAGCTATGATCGTGATGTACCGTCTTCCCAGTAATCATTGGCAAAGGAAAACCTTAGTATGTCTTTTCTGCATCTTTGTTTTCTTAGTTTGAATCTTTGGCCTCTTGTAGTTGCAGATTTAAAAATTTCTCCTCTATTATTTTGATTCCTATTTTTGTTTTGTATGTAGTGATCATTTTGAAAACAAGCAGAGAACTGAGTATTAAGGTGTACAGTATTATTTACAAGCACAAAATGGCTGTAGTATGTCTAGTTCGATGTAGGAATAAATTATTCACCAAATAGTTATTTTTAAATTAGCATCAGCTGTGTACAGTCTCTGCAGAAAAAATGTCATTTAGCATTCTGTGGCATCCAGATGATTTGGACTCAGTGACAGACATTTTGAAATGCTCGTCTTCTTGAAGGGAATTGGAGCATTCCACTTTTTATTTTTTCCTAGTTTCATTATATTTTGTTTTAACTGTTTTATTTGAAATTCAACTTTAAAATTAATGGTTTTCTGTGTTTTTTAACTGCATATTTCATTTCAATTAAACATTTTACCTATATTTAATTCAAGGACTGAGGACTTGAGTCGATCATAGTTATTTTCTTCCTAAAAATACTGTGACCACGATCATTGGTTCATTTTGAGGTAAGAACTGTGACCATTGGCTCTTTCTGAGGAACAGGTACCTACTTTTGATTATTAGAACAGTTCATCCTTTAATAATTTGTATACAAGGGGGCTTAGTGTTAAGTGTTCTACAGTGTGCAGTGTACCTATCAATTATTTTTGGACAGCTGATGATATTTACATATTTATATGAAGTATGATTGTGTGCTGATCTGTATGACTAGTTCTGATGCAGTTCTTTATTCTACGAAGACTTAAAGTGAGTTCACATTTAATTAATGTAAATTTATCATGCTAGTTATGATAAATTTTTGTCTGTTTCTTGATATGTGTTTGTAGATTTATCTTTCTAAATTTTAAGTAAAATCACAATAACATGAGTGTTTGCTTTGGGACCATCATTTACTCAACCAAAATAATCCATGACAAAAATTTTTGAAAACTAACTAAACACTCTCACAAAGTAAAAGGCACAGAGGTGTTGTACATTCATGAGAAAAAATGCTCACTGGTAACATGTCAAGCCGGAATATAAAATTTGAGTAATGATTCATGCCTAAAATATATATTAGAAAAATAAATATTAAACTCTCAAACAAACAAGATAAATTTGCAGAATATCAAAGCTATAAAGGTAGGCAGGTGCTGAGATGCGGAGAGCTGCCAGGCAAGAGTGGACCAGCGAGGGTAAACTGCAGTGGTGGTGTCGCTGAGGCCAAGTTGCAGAGGAAATGTAAGTTTAGTTTGAGTCCAGGGTGTGAAAGTCTCCTGGGGGCCTTGTGTCAGTTTCTGTCGATCCAAAGAGAGCTCCACAAATGTATCATATTCACCCAGATTATGATTAATTTAACAGGAAGCAAGGTGCTTGGTTGGTAAAACCTTTGGAGAGCAGACTGTCAGGATGTAGTAGTAGTAGTAGTGTTGATGGTGTACCTGGTGGTTAGAAATAGTCACAGATGGCACCAATCTTTGCTGTATCTATAAGGGACAGTTTGTCCTGCACTCACTGCAGGACTGGCATAAATGAGCAGAGGGGCAATTTATTGTGAGAAAAAGTAAAAAATAAACCTCACATGATAAATAATCTAATTAGGTCCTTGTACTGTACCACTTTTGTCCATATGGACAACAGGTGGTCATATTGTTGAGGAGGATATTGTTTTAGTGGGTTGATCTTTTATCGATTCTATGCTATTGCCTTCTCATTGGCTACAGTTGTAAACCAACACAGCAAGGGGAGGGGACACAAGGTTTACATTTGTACACAGACTTTTTGTTGATATGCGCTTTCTGGGATTTTGGTATCTGGTAAGCAAACTTTTCAGCCTGCATATCAAAATAAGTAATGTAAAGTCCTATCACAGATATATTAACATAGGATAAAAAACCCACACTTATGAACTATGTATTATTCATTGAGATGTAAGTCCTGTTCAAACTGTATACTTTACTCAGATTTTGATAATTCAATCGATAGAGGGTGTAAAACTTTGTGTAGTTCAAATCTTGACATAAGATACATAAGCTTGGGCTTTTTTTTCCTATATCAGAATAATAATAACCCAGTTTTTCTTCTATAGAAAGTTAAATAATCCTTGCTAATCTTTCTGATCCCTGAGCCAGGTAGTGTGTGATGCTGCACTATGGCTGGCTGGCAGTCTGTGTCTTAGTGTATACTACTTGATGGTCCATAAAACCAGAATAACCAAATGGATGGCAAAGAAACTTTTAGCCAAGTCTGTGATCACTGGTTTATGTGATAATCCTAACAGGTGAGTAGTAAATTACATTATTTGTTATACAAAGAGTACTTTAAATACTGGTATTCATAAAATGTTTGTGCCACCTGGCTTTTGATTAATTTTTTCCACATGGATGAAGTGCTTGCATTGGTTTTATTATAATAGCTCACCATGATGTATAAATAGATAAGATACTTGATGTCACTACAATGACACCAAGGACAACATATGCCAAACTGATTTTTGTCACTAGCCTTCATCTGCAGTTGACAGAAAGTAAATTTTAAGGCGTAGCAGTTGGTTTCTGGGGCTGTGCCTCTAATGTGTTATGAAAGCTGATAGAAGCACCTCCAAATCAACCAGATGTGGAGGTGCTGATGTAGGAAGATGATGATTCACAATAACATGGCCAAAGATTTGACACCCACTCTACACATCTGAAACTGAAGAACCAAAAATGTTTTGGTCCATCCTGGACCATTATCAAGTCGTGTAAGTATCAAATCATCTCTTTTTGTATTTTATAATTTAGTGTATTAGTGACGGGTCCAAATTAACATAGGACCGAGTAGCCAAGATAGGTCTCGATGGTTACCACTATCAGTTTTATTAAGTTATGTAACATTGTGAGAAGTTTCCAATGCATATTTCGAACTCCTCTTCCCCCTCCCTTTGAAAGCTTTTGCTGGTGCAGGATATCCCATACAGTATTTAATTTGGTGTTCCTATGTGTTGCATGATTAGCATAAGTACAGTATAACCAATTAGTAATTTGACCAGCCTGTTTTCTGGTGGAATATAACTTGATTTAGCTATAACACTGTGCAGATATCCATGCAAGAATTGGAATGCTTGAGATACATTATTGGGCTTAGATCAATGGTATGATTTCTAATGAGTTTTGGGTTTCTCCTTTCTTAGCACTTCGTGTCCTGTAAGATATTATTAGTTGTAAAAATAACAGCAGTATTTGCTAGTTTGATGATGAATTAGGTTCTAGTACCATTCTGAAGTAATGTGGTCTTCCTGCTTTATCTTTATGTCTCATTGTTGTTTATATTATTAATATGATGATCATTATCAGTATGCTAATCCTTGTTGTGCCATAAGGCAACTATAACATTTTTCTAAAGCATTTCTTATGGGGGATTGGGGGGGGGAAGCAAACTTCTTGTGGTTTTTCTTCTGTAGAAAGTTAAATAATCCTTGCTAACCTTTCTGATTCCTGAGCCAGGTAGTGTGTGATGCTGCACTATGGCTGGCTGGCAGTCTGTGTCTTAGTGTATACTACTTGATGGTACATAAAACCAGAATAGCCAAATGGATGGCAAAGAAACTTTTTGCCAAGTCTGTGATCACTGGTTTATGTGATAATCCTAACAGGTGAGTAGTAAAATACATTATTTGTTATAAAAAGAGTACTTTAAATACTGGTATTCATAAAATGTTTGTGCCACCTGGCTTTGACTAATTTTTTCCACATGGATGAAGTGCTTGCATTGGTTTTGTTATAATAGCTCACCATGATGTATAAATAGATAAGATACTTGATGTCACTACAATGACACCAAGGACAACATATGCCAAACTGATTTTTGTCACTAGCCTTCATCTGCAGTTGACAGAAAGTAAATTTTAAGGTGTAGCAGTTGGTTTCTGGGGCTGTGCCTCTAATGTGTTATGAAAGCTGATAGAAGCACCTCCAAATCAACCAGATGTGGAGGTGCTAATGTAGGAAGATGATGATTCACAATAACATGGCTGAAGATTTGACACCCACTCTACACATCTGAAAATGAAGAACCAAAAATGTTTTGGTCCATCCTGGACCATTATCAAGCCGTGTAAGTATCAAATCATCTCTTTTTGTATTTTATAATTTAGTGTATAAGTGACGGGTCCAAATTAACATAGGACCGAGTAGTCAAGATAGGTCTCGATGGTTACCACTATCAGTTTTATTAAGTTATGTAACATTGTGAGAAGTTTCCAATGCATATTTCAAACTCGTCTTCCCCCTCCCTCTGATGTTAGCAGACAACAAAGAAACCATCAGTTTGTCTTACAGTTAGAAAGCTTTTGCTGGTGCACAATATCCCATACAGTATTTAATTTGGTGTTCCTATGTGTTGCAATTTACATAAGTACAGTATAACCAATTAGTAATTTGACCAGCCTGTTTTCTGGTGGAATATAACTTGATTTAGCTATACTGTAGCACTGTGCAGATATCCATGCAAGAATTGGAATGCTTGAGATACATTATTGGGCTTAGATCAATGGTATGATTCCTAAAGAGTTTTGGGTTTCTCCTTTCTTAGCACTTTGTGTCCTGTAAGGTATTATTAGTTGTAAAAATAACAGCAGTATTTGCTAGTTTGATGGTGAAACAGGTTCTAGTACCATTCTAAAGTAATGTGGTCTTCCTGCTTTATCTTTATGTCTCATTGTTGTTTATATTATTAATATGATGATCATTATCAGTATGTTATATGCTAGTCTTTATTGTGCCATAAAGCAGCTATAACATTTTTCTAAAGCATTTCTTATGGGGGATGGGGAGGGAAGCAAACCTCTTGTGGCTCATTGAAGCTATCTCACTGAGATTGCTTCCAACTAGTAGGTCACTTCAGCTGTGGATTTCTGTTTGGCCTACTAGGGCCAAGGCCAGAATTAGGCCTTCCCTCACATAGGTAGAGAGACACTCTGCCACCCCATGGAAAGCATCCAGGAAGTCAGTGAATCAATACAGACCACTGCTGGGTTCAAAAGAGACTGAAGTCTCAAAACTTCCAGACGAATTCCTCCCAACAATGTAAACAAACGATTAAATCTCTCATTACCAGCGTGAACTCATTAGTATTACCCCGTCAGTTAAGGGAGGTGGAGAAGAGGGTTCCTGGAGCTCCCAGTCCCCTACATCAGTTCTGATGCTTATGTGGAGATCCACTGTAGGGCTCTTGGGTTGTCAGTAAGCCATACGGGTCCTGCTGCTTCTAAGTTAAGTGCCAGTCATCCTTGAATGTTGTCCTACATAGGCCAATTGCTTGGCATTAAAATAAAATACAATAATTTAATTAATTGTGTCAAGGGACAGGCAGCCAGTGTGTGTTTATACACACTAAGTGTATATCGAGGTCCCTCCCCATGGTCGAATTACTGACCCACCCCAGGTTGCATCTCCATAACAAGTTGACTAACTTCTGGGTACTTACTTAATGCTAGTTGAACAAGAGCATTAGGGGGATAGGAAATGGGTCCAACCATTTCTGTCCTACCCTAGATTTGGATCCGGAATTCTCAATTATGGGTCGAGAACGAACTCGACTGTACTATCAGGTCCCTGTTTGTATTATTCCTTGTTTCAGTTAAGCTTCATGATTTTTTTCGTCTGGTTTATGTTGCATAAAGCTGGCTCGTTGAGCACTTGGTGCTGCATGTGCTCAGGATTACCTTCCATGAATGTTCCCTGGTGCTGCCCCAACACTGACATACAGTGCAGTAGTTCTGTTCTCTGATGTATTTGGGAGTTTGCTCTTTTAGAGGCTGGCTCATTGGGATGCAGGCCTTGCCTTGAGAAAGTCAGGAACTTTTCTATCCCTTTGTCTAGGCCCCTGGTTGAATGAACATTTACACTGTTTTTAGTGCACTTGTTCATAGACTTGCTCATACAGCACCCCAAGTTTGCCCTCTAAGAAATTATCTGGGCAAGTGTTTCTTTGCTTATTCCTTTGTAGGAGCCATAAGAACAATATAATACCACTAACATCACTTAACTGGGATAAAACACTGCAGGGTGCCAGAGTGAGATGCACATCACTCTCACTCACTATGAATGCCTGGGGAAAACTAAACCTCATAGCTGTGTAGCTTCAGAGAGCTAGCAGACACTGACATGTACCCTGTGTATACTTTTGTCTCAAATGTTGTACCCACAAGACTATCAGTCATTTTTCACTGTAAGTACATGCTGCCTCAAGCAGAGCGGTATATACTTCGATGAATACTATACAGTATATATTACAATTTGTAATAGTTACATCTGGGTGAAGGTACCAAACTGTTAAGGATTTTGTTTCTCATACTTCAAGACAAGGTCTAAACAAAAACACATCAACAGTTAAATCAGTTTATTGTTAAGTACAAACAAGTTCAAGCAGGGAAGGAAAAGCACTAACAATTTTGACACTGGTTTGGGAGGTGAAACCACACTGGCCTATTCTCAGCGAGTTGCTGGATAGGCTCCCATGATTCTCACTGTGTTGAATGGGAGACAGATGACACTACAAGAGCAACACACTCATTCACACACTGCCATCACATTCTTTTTCAAATTTAACACTTGGATGGCAATCATGCGAATGATACGAGGTATCATTTGTCTTTTACAGGGCTAGATTTGTAACACAATGTACTGGTACTATGTTTCTCTTGAATGTTGCTTTAAAAATGGTGCTATATTTGGCTTACAAGGCTCACTTATTTGAAATTCCCACAGTTGATACTGATGTGCAGCTACTTTGTAGTTCAATTTCTTCATTTATACAATACTAATTAAATTTTACAAGACATATCACAATTAGAATATTGATTAATTGTGGTAACAATGCAAAACAAAATTTTCAAATGCAACATATGCAAGCAAAAGGCCAGAAAATAGTTTGCTAGGTCATGATGCAGCATCTGCAACTGGAAATGCTTCTCCTCACATACGACAATAAGTTTATGGAACAAACAGTTGATGCACTAGCCAGAAAAATTATAAATGAAAATTCTTGAATTGCAGGTATCCTGTCTCCTTAAACCTATCCTTGTCAGGGGCTTTGATCTAGACAAAGAGTGTTTGAATATATTATATCAGGAACAGGGGGAGTCTTTTGCTTGTGTAAGTTCCCCAAGACAAGGTCAAACCTGTGATCACTATTCCATTACTGACAAACCCAGTTGTGTTCAACTTGTTTGGCAAAGCAACCTGTGCATCATTCACTATGGATTATAGTGAATCACTGTAATATGGATACAGTATGAATCACTGCATCACTACAAGATGGATTATTTCATATTTGTCTTACACACACAGGCTTAGCACTTTCTCCTCATAATTTCTTCACCTTCTTGGGTATCACCTTGTGTCCTAGTCCTTTATTTGCAACTGTATTAGTGTCTGTAATTACCTTTGTATTTCTTTACATTTTTGTTGCAATTTGTATTACTGTATTATTAAAGTGAGGAGTCTTTGTATTTCTCTGTTTATAAAATTTTAGCTGCTAATATGACTAACTTATTGTTTGCCATCATATAGGAATACATGTAGTTTGCAAATATTTCCTTGTAATCTCTGTGAAAGGTGCTATTGTTATATATTGTGGTACACTATACAAGTGGGTATACCGTATACAAGTGGGTATGTATTCTGCAGATGAAAAAAAATCTATTTATTGACTTCTCTGTGTATACAGTATATGGATACTAGTTGTGGAGGTGCCAGCTGAATGCACCTGTAGTGAGCATTACTTTGGTACATTTTCCTGTTAAGTAAAGTAAAGGTACCATTAATATTTACTGAAGGTTAATATGCATGCACTACTAAAGGTATGACACTGAAAACCAAAGCATTCTCATTGCCAATCAAGCATAAAGGATTATTCCTATGTAAATGATGACAAAGATTAAGATCATTAGTGGGATAACCATCACAGTTATTTTGTGGATGACGAGTGCAGTTGAGGGTCTTGTTTTCTTCCTCTGGCTTAGTTCTCCAACACATTGTACTGGAAATACATGAGCTGTTTTGTATGAGATTTTCAAATCTTGGCCAAGTCTTTCTCTTCGAAGTAACACATCAGTCACCACCAGCATCACCACCATGAAGAAGTCCATGCAGATACAAAAGACAAACCACACATCAATGAGTTTAAGATAAGCGGTCCTTGGAATGGCAATGCTGGTCTGTGCAAAGAGGGAGGCCAGCACTAGGAGACTTGTCAGTGCCACCATTATGCGGTTAGTGAAGTCTTCCATGTCAAAGAAAAACGTTATATACGAGATGATGACTAGTAAGAAGGTTGGGATGTAGGTGTTGCTGATGAAGTATCCATTGAGGTTTGTAAAAATTATATTAATCTGGACACAACTCTGAGATTCAATCGGAAATCTCTTCAACGTGACGTCTTCCACCTGATATAAGAAACCAATGAAGTTATAAAAAAATCTGAATTGAATGTAATGAAACATCAATTTCTGGGCAAGCCCAAGTAGTTCCCTATAGCTACTCTCACTGATAGTGTACCAACTACTAGGTCTCATCATCCATAGAATTCTATAGGCTACCGGGAACCAGAACCTGATTCCTCCTTTCACAGAGGTGCAGGGAGTGGTAACATTTATATATGTATTTATGCCATCACCACTGCTGTCTTCAATCAAGACTGCAGCTTCCAGAACTGCCAAAAGAACTCTCCCAACAATGTGAACAAATTATCTTGAAATTTCAAATCTCTTGAAACTAGCTCCACGTCAATTGCCTCACTTCCTCCACTTGGTTTGTGGGGAAGGGGTGAAGCAACTAACGATCAGCCACCTCATCCAGCCTCGGTTCCATGCTGTGTACTGTGCCAGGTCATCGCTCTGCTGCTTAGGCTTCAGTGTTTTGCTGTTACATACCATTAAGTGATGGTTTTTGCCTTTGTTGGTATTTCTGTATACTGTAGTGTAACATGAGCCTAGACATCAAGAGTGCTTGGGGATACATGAGCACAGGATACTCTTTCCTATGTGCTCCCTAGTGCTGCCCTTGCATTTTAAGATTATCTCCTCTGGGGTGTGGGGGATCATTTCCTCAGAGGTCCTCTTCACTTGTGGTGGCCCTCGCCAAAGGCGAGTAAGGTATCTTCGGATTTTTCTGCTTTTACTCAGGTTGGGAGTGACATTGGCTGGCTTGGGGCACACTGAGTATTTGTATGCTACACTATAGCATTCTGAGGTACTCCTTCACAGGCATATAAGCAGCTGCTGTGTTAGATTATTATATTGTCTATATATGCATACTGAATTGCATATAGATTCTCAAGACTTCCTTCAATTAAGGATCTGGCATAGTATCCCAGTGCTTGGATGTTCTGCTTGGATAATTTCCTTTCAGCCATGGAAATTCCCTGTGGGTTTGGTGGTCCTAGTGATATTCATCCCAAACCTGCTCTCACTTTGTGAGAGTTTGAGAGATGCTCTCTGTATGTGTCACATGTCATTCAGCCCATTTGCCTCTGCTGTGCTACCTGTTGGGTCGGTGGCATCTTTGACCCTGGGTCCTGTGGGGGTTGCTTTCCCATATGGCTTTGCCTTGTCGCCCTTGATGTAGTTCAGGCTTCTTTGGCAGAGGCTGATTTTTGTTTTGGTTTGTAGTGGTCTGGGTTGAGTGCCTGGTTGGATGCCCTGTAGCTGTCCCATTAGTAATTAGGGATCTGGAATTGGAGGTATTTGGTTACCTTTTCCTATGTTCCATCCAAACCTCTTCCTTACCACCTTAATGGGGGTGTGGTTCGCCCCCATTTCCCCTCCTGCTTCTAGCCCGGAGGCATCTGTAGGTTTCTGGGTCAGACTGAGGTTTTTGCTCATTATGTGGCTTGGATGGCTCCTAGGGTTACCCCTTCCAATGTGGGCACAGTCAGTCGAGTCTGCTTGTCCTACTGGGACTTATGGGTATTTCTTTTAGCCAACCCCTCTTAACTTGGATTTCAGGTTTCTGTCCTGGGTGGTGGATGTGGATGCAGGCTATCCCAGGGCCCTCAACGGCATCTTCTGGGCCTTGTGAAGAAGCCTGGTGTGGGCACTGTTTAACCATGTGGTTCCTGGTTCTGCCCACGCCATTTTTTGCAAGGGAATGGGTGTTCATGTTTCCCCTCCCTGTGTTCATATGCTTTGCATGCAGCTCCCCCCTCCTCCTTGGGTTAGATTCCACCTTCTTTTTGTGTCTGTCAAGCTTATTCCTCTAGACTAGAGGTTCCTGCCTCTTGGGTCCCTCCTATGGCAGCTCAAGAGGGTTTTTTCTGTTCTGCCTTTGAGACCCGGTTCATACCTCATTGTTAGATGTTGTGTTCTTTGCATTTTGGTCTATTTACTTATTGGTTGCATATGAAGTTTCAGCATCTTCCTGGCAAGCAGACAGGATCTTTATGTAGCTTTTGTCATTCCCTCACACACAGGCATGGCCAGGGGTGTCATCCTTGGTTACATGTTATCCTTGTTCTTTTTTAGGTTGTGGTTCCCATGTGGCTTCATGCTCAGCTTCCCTTCTCATCAGTGCTTGGGGCGGCTGGCCTTCTGGTCATTGGCCTTTGTTTCTGTTGTGCATTCCTGTGTCTCCTGGAGTCATTTGGATTCGTTCCGAGGGCCATTCAGGTGCTTGGCAGGAGAGGGACTCCTGCCAAGACTCGAGGAGAAGGGAGAACCAGTCTCGTAACAGATTGGGCCAATCTTCTGAAAGAGCCAGAGCCGCGGAAAAATACCCGGGTGACACGGGAGCCCCTCAGAAATCAGTGCACGTGGGACCGCAGCCGAAGGAGAGACTCCGGACAAAGAGACAAGGCAGGGGTCCAAGTGTCCCACACAAAGCCCAGCAAGGCCCAAACCTGGGAGGGAACCAGATGGGACTTCCGCCAGTTCACCAGGAACCCGAACCCGGCTAGCTGGGAAAGCACCACACCCCTGGCAAGCAGACACGTGGACCGACTGGGAGCCCAAACTAACCAATTGTCGAGGTGAGCCAACACCCGAACACCTAACAGACACAGACAAGCCACAACGACCCAGGTAAGACATGTGAACACGCAAGGTGCCAGGTTCAACCCGAATAGGAGACAACGAAAGCAGTAACCCTGATGCCCCACAACAAAACCGAGCCAGTCCCTGAACCTCGTGCCAATATGTGTCCTTGAGGTCCAGGGACACCATCCCAGCGCCTGGCTCCAAAAGAAGCCAGACCTGGGACAGAGTGGTCAACCGAGAGGAGAGGCAAAAAACCCATGGGTTCAGACGGGACAAGTCCAGAATGAACTGCAGGTCCGCACATGGGACTGGAAACGGGCGGGAAACCCACGTGAGGGACGTCGTCGTTTTGACCATGCCCAAGCGCACCCACTCCAAGACGACCTGACAGAGCGCAGGAGAAGAGGCCTGCCCTGCCAGCTCCGAACCCCCCAAAAAAGGAGGAGCCACCTAACGCCACCGAAGGCCGCGAGAAACGACCTGAAAAGCCCATGAATCATGGAACCAGGTGTGAGCGAACAGAGCAAGCCTCCCCCATCACCCCGTCAACTGGGCGATCCGTGAAAGAGCCGATGCCCCTTACAAAAATCCGACCGGCATACAGAGTGAGCACCGCACCGACCAGGCGCAGCCGGGACCGAAGGCTGCACCGGCTCCGAAACTGGCACCTGTGGCCCACCTCGACAGGCAGAACAGCGGGCCCTGGCACGACCCCTCCTGGAAGAACCCATCCTTGAGCCCCAGAGAACCAACAGGTCAGACATAGGGTGGCAGCTGGAAGAGGCTGCCTGCATATATTGTTCAACCGTAGAAGCAGCAAATAGCAAAGGACAAAAGGGCGAAGACAATCTAAGAGCCAGGGCCCAAGCGAATTCCAAGGAGGAAGCAAGCATCATCTGCACATGCAAGGCAGGCAGGGAAAAACCGCAACAGCACATCCTGCAGGATCGGCGCAAACAGCTTCAAGAGGACAGACGACTCACAAGCAGCCGAGGCCAAGGCGCTAGACCCAGGAACAGCCCCAAGCACCTCTACATCCTCCACAAGCCAATCCGAAGACAGCTCCAGGAGGGAAAAGAAATAAGGGAAATGCAGGAGCGCGCAAATCCTCAGCCATAAGCGCTGCCAATGAAGCTGAACCACACCAACATCCCACAGAAGAGCTGGAGCGAAGAAGCGCTCATTAAGGTGCACAAAGTCACCCCCCAAGTAAACCTGGACCACAGTCAACGCCTCACGCCACTCATGCATGCGGGAATGGCAGAGGGTGTCCCAAGCATCCAGCGAAAACAAAGGGCAGTCCGCTAACCAGGAGGACTCCGGAACCTCATAACAATCCCAGTATGGAGACGAAGGCCCAAACCAGAAGGAAGACAGATCCATTATAGAGGCATAATCCAGGTCACGCAGGAGGTAAGCCGCAATGGCCACCCGCACCTCAACTGGAGAGATGCAGGAAGCCGAAAACCTCCAGAACACGCCCAGAAAATGACATTTCATTACATTCAACGCTGGTTTTCTGGTGGTAGCCCCAACGGCTCCCAGAGCTACTTCACCAAATACTAAGGAAAGAAGGGGACTTGCTCGGAAGGCGGTCGGTGCTCCACACCTCAACTCGAAGTCGAGTTGAGGTCCTATCCTATCTCTCTTCTCCTCAGTTTGTTCTGGCGCCTTCGGTATAGGATTGTTTTTTGAAGGCTCTTTTTTCTGTTGGCATTGGCCTCCAGGCCTCGGGTCTCGAAGCTTCATGCTTGCTGATGCAGGGGTTTCTGCTCCTTCAGTCGTGGAGTTAGGTTTGTTCGTCTGCAGCCGTCCCCTTCTTTTCCAGTGAAGAATGAGATTGCTGCTTTCTGGAGGGGCCCTTGGATTGTTGATGCTTGATTGGTCAGGCCGGGGGTGCATCACGTTTTGTGTCCGGTTGGGACCCTCCACTATTATTTGCGCACCACGGCTTGTGTGTTCGGGGACACGCTTTGGGCTGATCCTGTTTCCTTTCTTCCCTGTTCGCGGGTACGGGTCTGTCAGGTCGTCTGCAGGGTTATTAAGTCTAGCCAGCATGCAGTCTATCCCCGTGCCCATGACGTTCGTACATTCGCTGCTCTGGCTGCCGTTTTGGGGAACATGTCATGGGTTGACATTCGGGTGCAGGGTTTTTAGCGGTCGAACAGGGTCCTGGAAGCACCTTACTCCGTGAACGTTCCTGGGCCTAGTCGAGCCTTTTGTCACTTTGGGTCGGCGTCTGCAACCTGTCTCGACTTCGAGTTGAGGTGTGGAGCACCGACCGCCTTCCGAGCAAGTCCCCTTCTTTCCTTAGTATTTGGTGAAGTAGCTCTGGGAGCCGTTGGGGCTATCCCCAGAAACCAGCGTTGAATGTAATGAAATGTCATTTTCTGGGCGTGTCCCGGAGGCTCCCTGGCAACCCACCCTTCCTCCGGTCGGCGGTTTTCGTGTACAGTACAGTATTTTGATATCCAGCCTTGGAACAGGAGGTGTGGAGCGCCAGCGCGGGTGTCTGGGGCTTGCCCTTCCCCACCTCCTAGGGAGGGGGGGAAGCTCCGCAGACATGCGGTGCGGCTCGTGTGACGTCATGCTTGCTTGTTCGTTTTCCCTTGGGGGAGTTCCACCCACTTGGTTCATTATTTTCGTTGGTTTCACCAGAATAGGGGTGTGTTTTGGGGAGCTTACCTTTCTGGGTGCCTGTCCCAGTCGATGGCAGATATAGAATGTTCCAAAATCACATGTGCATTTCTATAGGCCATTGCTCCCTCTGAGGCACGAGGAGCATGGCCAGGTTTTGGCCATGGTTCCCGGTAAGTCTAGAACTCCACCCACGTTGACTGATGCCAAAAGTTAGGACTATCCCTATCAGCCTGGATAGCTCCAGGAAACCTCTGGGACTCACCCAGAAAAATGGCGTTTCATTACATTCAATGCTGGTTTTTTGTTGGGCATTTTGCCACTTTTTTGTTGGGCATTTTGCCACTTTTTTGTTGGGCATTTTGCCACTTTTTTGTTGAGCATTTGGTAATTTTTTGTTACGAGCCTAAAATTCCAAAATGCCCAACAAAAAAGTGCCAACTGCCCAACAAAATAGTAGTAAATGCCCAATAGAAAAGTGGCTACCGCCCAACAAAAAAGTAGCTATAGCCTCACAAAAAAAATGGCAAATAGTCAACAAGAAAGTGGCAAGCGCCCAACAGGAAGGTTGCAAATGCCCAACAGAAAGGTGGCAAACGCCCAACAGAAAGGTGGCAAACGCCCAACAGAAAGGTGGCAACTACCCAACAGAAAGGTGGCAACTACCCAACAGAAAGGTGGCAACTACCCAACAGAAAGGTGGCAACTACCCAACAGAAAGGTGGCAACTACCCAACAGAAAGGTGGTAACTACCCAACAGAAAGGTGGCAACTACCCAACAGAAAGGTGGCAACTACCCAACAGAAAGGTGGCAACTACCCAACAGAAAGGTGGCAACTACCCAACAGAAAGGTGGCAACTACCCAACAGAAAGGTGACAACTACCCAACAGAAAGTTGACAACTGCCAACTTTCAAGAGATTTCAATTGTTTGTTTATATTGTTGAGAAGGTCCAGAGGTTCTTGCTGCGGTGGCGATTGAAGCTAGTTGTGGTCCGTTTTGTCTCGCTGATTTTCTGAATGCCTTCCCTGGTGGTGGCATAAATATATAAATGTCACCACTCCCTGCGGGGGCCAGGTTCTAGTGCTGGTCCCTGGTAGGCCTATAAAACTCCGTGGCTGATGCACCCAATAATTGGTACACTGTCAGTGACAGTAGTTACAGGGAGCCACAATGAGCTTCCCCCAGAACATTAACTTTCAAATAATTTTTTACTCTAAATTAGTTATATACAGTATAACAATTTGACTACAATTAGAATTTTCTTTTAAAAATAATCTCACGTTATATTCCAGTAGAAGCTTCATTCCGGTGAATATGACGGTTGTGTTATTTATAAATACATCATGAAGGCTACACTTATCGAGGAGTAGGGTGAGTGAGCAGTGCTGAGAGTCAAATGGATAATAAGTGAGGTCCATATGGCAAGCCGAGGTCACAGTGAGGCGATGCTTGCTCCTCAACCGATTGCTCCACCCTTCATAAAGCAAGTCTGTTAAGTGAAAACATATACACTACCTAAATCTGTAAATGCATTAAAAACAAGGGTAATATAAGTTTTGTAAATGTTTTAACAGCTAGATACAGGCTACAGTACATAAAAAATATTCCTCGATTCTACTGGAAGTTCAATCCCTGGTCTCTGAGTAGAAGCCAGGTATCGTACTCTTCAATCTTTTATGCTATAAAATTAGTAGAATGATTATTCACATCTGTGCCTGATACACTAGCACACTTTATGAAATACCATAGGGTATTTCATAAAAAAAAGTGTACCAAAATTGTCAAATATGTTTAGCCAAGCTAATAGATAGACAATGATAGACAATGATAGACAGATAGACAATGTAAACATTAGCAATAAAAATGATGGAAAGTTTCTTGGCATATTCCTAGACAAGAGACTCAACTTCAGTACCCACATACAACACATAACTAAGAAAGTCTCTAAAACAGTTGGTATACTCTCCAAAATCAGATATTATGTACCTAACTCTGCTCTCATCTCTCTATATTATGCACTAATCTATCCCTATCTCAACTATGGTATCTGTGCATGGGGTTCAACCACTGCAAACCACCTCAAGTCCATCATCACCCAGCAAAAATCTGCTATCAGAATAATATCAAATTCTGCTTTCAGACAACACACAGCCCCCTTGTTTAACTCCCTAAACATGCTAAACATAATCTCACTCCATAAATTCTCTTGTGTCAACTACATTTACAAAACCCTGTTCTTAAATGCAAATCCTTGTCTGAAACTCTTCCTGGACAGATGTAATAGGACCCATCATCACCACACCAGAAATAAATATCTCTTTGATATCCCCAGAATTAAACTTAATCTGTGTAAACACTCTATGCAAATAAAGGGACCCAGTTTATGGAACTCACTCCCTACTGAATTGAAAAGCTGTCCAACTTTTACATCATTCAAAATCAATACTAAAAAGTACCTAATTTCATCTTCATAGTTTTTCACTTTTTGCCTTAAAATTGCACTGTATCTATTGCTACCCAATCTCCCAACCTTTATGTTCCCAATTTGAACATCTTTACCATTGTGATCATTGCTGTCTTATATGTGCTGTCAATCTGCTGTATGGTGTCTATTAATCTTGTTTTAAATTACTAATCAAGCTGTCAATGTAATCAATCAGAGCTTTAATATAACAATGTGCTTTAATATACTTACTAAGCTCTCTCATCTCATTTTCTCTTGCAATGTATCTTTATCATTTATCAATTCTGATAGAAATTACCTACTTAAAATTATCTGCTAGATTAAGGACCTGCCCGAAACGCTGCACGTACTAGTGGCTTTACAAGAATGTAAATACTGTACTATCCAATGTATTCTTGCAAACCCAATGTACCTTCTTGTATATATATAAATAAATAAATAAATAAATAGCCATAGTCAATCCATTTTGCATCATATTTACCTCATAACACGAGTAACGTATGACAGATTCTGTTGAATTAGCAAAGATTAATCTCATAAGTATTAAATTATATTATTCTTAAATAGTTCAGCTAAATAAAAGGCCTACATCATGGTGCAAATGGTAAAAAACCAGCGTTGAATGTAGTGAAATGCCATTTTCTGGGCGAGACTCGGAGGTTTCCCTGAGCTATCCAGGCTGATATTACTAATGTCAGACTTTGGCATCAGTCATGTGTATGGAGTTCTTTAGGCCTACTGGGGACCACGAGGCAGAACCTGGCCCCCTCAGAGAGGCATGAGGAGCAATGGCCTATAGAAACCCCCATGTGGTTGGAAGCATTCTATGTCTGCCATCGACCGGGTCAGGCACCCAGAAAGGTAAGCATCCCAAAACAAACCCCTATTCTGGTTAAGAAATTATTACCGAGAACCGAACTAGTGGACAGAACTCCTGTAACAAAAATGAGCTAACGAGCATGACGTCACCACGTCACCACACTGCGCCGCCGTCTGCACAGCTCCCTCCTCCCTGGGAGGGGGAAGGGGGAGCCCCAGACCCCTCACGCTGGCTACCCAAAACCCACGTTCTGAGGCTGGATATCAAAACACGCGAAAAACTGCCGACCGGAGGGAGGGAGGGAGGGCTGCCGGGGAGCCTCCAGGGGTCTCCCAGAAAATGACGTTTCATTACATACAACACTGGTTTTCTGGAGGGAGCCCCATTGGCTCCCTGGAGCTACCTATCAAAAGACGAAAAAGAGAGGGACCTACCCAGGAGGCGGACGTTGCTCACCCCCCAACTCGAAGTGGAGACAAAAGACTGCAACCGCCTACCCAAGGCCATACAGGCCCAGGAACATCAACGAAGGAATGCGTAACCAACCTACGAATGTTGTGGGCATGGGGATAGACTGCATGCTGGCTGGAACAAACCACCCCGCGGACAACCCGAGAGAACTGCACCCTGGAACAGGGAAGAAAGGAAACTGGAGCAACCCAAAGCATGACCCCAGTCACGGCAGCCATGGCACACAAAGAATGGCGAAGCGCCGCAACCGAACACAACACATGATGCACCCCCGGCCAGACCAACCAAGCATCAACAACCCAAGGACCCCTCCGGAAAGCAGCCATGTCAGTCTCCGCCAGAAAAGAAGGAGATGGCTGCAAGCAAACAAACCTATCACGAGGACCAAAAGAACAGAAACCCTGGGGCCGGAGGAGAGAATGAAGCACCCTGACTCGGCCCCCAGAGGCCAACACCAACTAGAAACGAGCCTCGGAAAATAATCCAGAACCGAAGGGGCACAACAAACTGAGGAGAAGAGAGGAGAGCACCCAATCCAAGAACCAGGACGGCTCAAGCGGGGCAAGAGCAGGCTGGAGATGAACTACACTAGAGACATCTCGTGAATTGGTGCAGAGGGAACACCAAAACCGGAACAACCAGAAGTGACTCCACCAGCGCCGCACGAGACAAGGCGACAGTATGTGGCAAGATGATGGCTCTGAACCTCCACAAGAGAAGGACAAGACCACACCAACAAAACACAGCAAACCTACGAAGGGACAAAAAGAAAAAGAAAAAGGAAGGACCGCCAAAAAACCCCACATCGCCGCTGCGACGATGCACGCAGGTGGGACACTATCAACGAAGCCACCTGAACACCAACAGATGGTGAGAGACTCGAGGCAGAACCGAACCCGCCCCACCATGGACTGATCGAGCATAGGAAGAGGCAGAGCCGCGGGAAAACCTCAGGTGTGAACACCGAGCAAGCAGAGCTGGAAACCCATGCTGGCAAGGAACCAGATGGAACTGAACCCCCAGGACGTGTACACTCATGGGGGTACCACCGAAATAGAGAAGAGCACTCAGTACACGGGGCCAAAACCAAGGCAGACCTTCCCCCACCAGGCAGGCAATCAAAAGAAAAAAGAAAACCCCGCAAGAGGACAGTATACCCAGGCGAAACAGAGCCAGCCGTTATGATTGGCGAAAACAATTTGCGCAGTACCCTGCGCCCCTTACCAGTGCAAACTGCCTTCTACCCTAAGGTGAACAAGGGAGTTGGAAGACCCTAGCCCACAAAGGGCGGCCGAAAACTGAGCAGTAAACGGCCAGAGGCAGAACCCAAGGAACTTGTGGAAGGTGGCCCCAAGGGCAGTACTTACCAGGCACCTAGGGAAGGGAACCCTAGGCGCATGCAGCCCGAATACGGAAGAATTACTCCTGGCTCACACACCCCCTACAAGACAGCCACCACGCCACAAGGCACAGAGCTGAGACCAAGTCTGGAGCCAGAGCACACGACCTCTGCCTAACGCATCAGCATTAGAACTGGGGTTTTAGGTAGCCGGCGCGAGGGGTCTGGGAATCCCAAGACCTCACCTCGGTATGAGGTGAGGTCTTGGGATTCCTCACCAAGGGGAGGGGGGAGCTGTGCAGACAGCGGCGCGGCGATGTAGTAACGTCATGCTCGTTAGCTCATTTTTGTTAGGGGAGTTTTATCCACTAGTTTGGCTCTCAGTAGCAATTTCTTAACCAGAATAGGGGTTTGTTTAGGGATGCTTATCTTTCTGGGTGCCTGACCCGTCAATGGCAGACAGAGAATGCGTCCAATCACATGTGGGTTTCTATAGGCCATTGCTCCTAGTGCCTCTCTGAGAGGACCAGGTTCTGGCTCGTGGTCCCTGGTAGGCCTAAAGAACTCCATACACACGAGTGATGCCAAAGTCTGACATTAGCAATATCAGTCTGGATAGCTCCGGGGAGCTGACGGGCTCCCCCCAGAAATTAGTCAGAAATATAGGCAGATAAAATTCATATGGGAATTCAAGCATAATAAGTAATTGCAGATAGCAATTGGAGTCATATAAAGGTTAAGGTTCCACAAACAAGTACAGTATTTAAATAGAAATATAAGAAATTATTTCCTCAGAAAATGCTACAATATCTCTTAAATTTATCTTGATTCTTCCATATTTCCAAGCACTTATATTGAGATATTTATAAAGTTTTTACTAAAAGTATAAATCATATTTAAACAATAATAAATATCAAGACTTAACTAAATACAGACCAGGCTAAAAAAAAAAAGATAAAAGGCTTATTGTATTCCTGAAAAAAATAAGGGAATGAAAAGGTTTTCAGTCACTGGCTACCTTAGTGGCTTGGCAACACAGTGTAGATTAGCTGGGTAACATGATGCAGGTACCATCATCCCTTGTATTTATTAGAGCTCATGGTCCAACAGAAAGAGCATCGCACATAGCAAACCTGCCTGAATGTGGTCAAACACCTCCTAGTGCTCTGATAAATGTGTGGGTAAATTTTTCTGGGATGGCCCCTCAGTAACTCCTTGAGCTAAATGCTGGTCCAGTTATGCCTTAGGTAGGGGTGGGTTCCATTGTCCTGGTACATCTTGCTACCAGGAGCCAAGATCAGAATTTAGTATACCGTAGGTTAGAATTAAAAAGAAAATACTACTGTTTGAAGAAAATTAGGTACCTATGGTGTTACGGACTGCTTGAGCCAGTAACCAGTCACCAAGTCAATGGTATGATCTCAAGAAGTGGCAGTTGCAAGTAACTGTGCAAAGAATAAATGGTGGGTAAGCAATATGCAATAACACCTAACACAATAACAATTTGAGCTGTGTCCTTCTGGCTCTCATGTGGCCAGTTCAGCTCTGGTGCCAAGCATTTCTGGCTGGTTATCCCATTCCTGTTTCTCACCCAAAGATCTGCCTTCCCCAGTTTGTGAGACCTCACCTTAAGTATTACCTCATTATGTTGGCATTATGTCATCAAATTTGAGTACAAAGGATTTTAACAAATAATCTATATTCTCATTCAAATTACGAATATTTAAGTTAAGAATTCTTTATGGACACCCAAAGGCAGTCAAATTAAATAATTCAAGAATATATTCTATACATTAATAAAAAATATTTGTCATACCTTCCTTAGCAATGGCTGTGTTGTCAGGTAATGGGGATGTTTCCCTGAGAACCACTGTCTCTCTGGTGTGGGTAATGACATGAGTGTAGCTGTTCATTTCTCCCCGCATCTCTATCTCTGGCGTCCATATCATTCCTTCGTCTGCTGCATTAAGAGCTGGATCTTGTCGTAATTGGCGAAACTTTAGTCTTGAATCATGCCAGAGGAGATGTACTTGCAGATCTTGTTCCAGCATGAAGCTCATTACATCCAACTTCTTGATGAACTCAATGTTAACATCAATGTCTACCAACATTGGGCGCCCGGATTGTGGTCCAGGTGGTGGCAGTAACTGGTTGTAATTCTCCGAAATAACCACCACCTGTCAACAAAAAGCACGTTCTCTCTGTACTATGCAAAAACTTCCACAAGAGGATTTAATTTATTTCATACCAAATTATTATCCATTTACATCATGAACATTTAACAAACCTCACAATCGGCCTCGTCACTCTGATCCTCACAGTCAATATTTAAGTTACAGCGGTAGTCCAATGGTATGCAGGTCCCATCATCACATGTGAACTCGCCCAGCTGACAGATGCTGAAAGAGAGGGTCAAATTGTTGCTGCCACACCTGTCACTTTCAATATACCACCTGTGTCGGCCAATAGGGAAGATGCCTTGTGAGGGCAGCATTTGTCCTCGTATAAAGTCCATTTCCTCGTGGATCAAGTTCCACGAGTCATTAGCCTGAATAGTATTATTCTCTGTTCCCCAGGTGATTCGTGAAACAGATTTTCCTAGAAAGATTAGTCGATTTTCAGTCTCTGTTAATATAAACTCTGTGTCGAAGCCCAAAGCGCCACACAGTCCTCTCAGCCGTAGAATGATGGTGTCATTATACTCACAATAGGTGCACATCAAGGTGTTATTGCAGTTAGTGGGAAACCAGAATCCATGCCACTTTGAGCTTTTAGGAGCAATTGATACACTTATGCATGATACAGCTTCAGTCTGATAAAGGAATTCATAGGAGATCTTCAGTAGTGATGGGATCTGCCATGTCTGATAATGCCTCCAGGTATATGTTGTGAGATCTCCTTTCAGTCCCAGCCAGACACTCTCAATGTAATCATCTCCACAGATGTCTTGGTATGGCATCACAAGATCTATTAAATTTTCATTCTGTCTGTTGTTTTGTGGCAGTCCCAGATGTCCCCCAGTTTTGTGGCACAATCCAACGCTGGCATGGAACGAGAGACGTACAGGAAATATTAGATTATATGCATTTACTCTGTATGCGCACTGTGATTTCTGGCTAACATTGCTCATTTTTAATGCTTTACCTTGCATGAAGAGGTGCATTTGTGTTAGATCAATTACTGGCTGGTGGTCGACTTCCATGGGTAAACAGCTAACAAAATCGATCATCTTTTGAAGAGGCAGGAAAACAGAGTAAAGCCGAAGATCAGTGAGGTCGCCACAGAGGGATTGCATACTTTTAAAGAGACCACCATACTCGTCTTGGTCAATCCCAAGCAGCATGTATCCACCCCCTTGCACTATGGCCCCCGTCTCGTTCTCCAGTAGTGGTTTCTTGTACTCCAGCACATCACTCCACACCTGAAACAGTCATCACGATTATCACATGATTGCCCGTAACATATTCCATGCCTAGCTCATGATCTATTGATTGCCAGGTCATCACTATTTACTCTGCCAACATCTCACCTATAAGACTAATTTGAAGATTCATCAAAGAGTCTGCTGGGGGCCTTGTGCAAGGGGTGACGGAACCTTCACAGACTACAGCAATGAATTGAGTGAAATGCTGAAGTTACAGTATGATTCTGTTTTCAGTGAACCTCTGAACACCTTGCAGATCAATGATCCAAACAAATTATGAATGTGACACCACCATCAAACTATATAAGAGATGTTATGACAACCCCCACTCAACTTTGGAGTAGTCATAGACAGCATACCTATGCACTCTGCACCAGGCCCAGACTCCTGCAATTCTATATTCATTAAGAATTGTATAAAACCACATCACAGGCCCTAAACATCTTTTGGAGACTGAGCCTAAATACTGGTGTTATCTCCTGACATACTTAAAACAGTGGAGATTGAGTCACTTCACAAAGGAGGTAGTAAAGCTGATGCAAAAATTTATGGACCAATAGCTCCAACATCATAAAAATCATCGTAACAGTGCTAAAAAGTAAGTTCATAAACCATATGGAATCACAGTATCTATGTAACCCTGGGGAACATGGGTTCAAAACTGGGTGCTCCTGCTCTCATGATTGCTATACCACTATTACGTGGTCGTAAATGCCAGGAAGTCAAACAAAATGCTGACTAACAGAATCCAGAATGTAATAGTCAACAAAGTAAAATCTGAATCATCCACAGTGAAAAGTTCAGTTCCCCAAGGTACCTTGCTTTCTCCTGTACTTTTCTCTCATCCTCATATCAGACACAGACAAGGATGCAAACTATAGTACCGAATCTTCCATTGCAGTTACACTAGAATTTTCATGAGATTAGCCAATATAGAGGACACAGCAAACCTCCAATCTGATGTTATTCAAGTCTTTCAATTTGCCACAGAAAGTAACGTGATGTTCAATGAGAAAATCTGTAGGAAACGTGATGAGGGTTCGAATCTATGCGCTGGATATTCACAGGCACATGCTCTAGACAACAATTCCACGACATGGTCAAATGGATTGCAACCTGGGGTACTAGGCTGTGCATGGGGCATTGTGACACTCTAGTTTAGTTTCAATTGAAGCCTCAAGAACTCTAGAGGGTGCAGTAGTACCCCAAGTGTCAATCCTTGTGACCATGTCATGGTATAGTTGTCCAGAGCATGTGCCTGGGAATGCCTAGTGCATTGGTTCAAACCCACATCATGGTTACTATGGATTTTCTCACTGATGCATCTCGATAGTGTAATTACTCTGTGTAATGATGTTAATGCAGACAAGTTCCAAATGACTGTGGTATGGAAAAGAAATCATCAAAGCAGAAATCACATATAAAACAGTCAAACCACACTATTGAAAGAAAAAGCAATGTTACAGATTTAAGAGTAATTTTATTTGAATCATGTTGGAAGGCCTTACCTTTAAAGAACACAACAAAGTTGCTGCCACAACTGCAATAAAAATGACAGGTTGGATAACAAAAATCTTCCAAACAACAGATGCTGTGCCAATGATGATACTTTTCAAGACTTTAGTGCTCTCTTAGAGTGGCGTATTTTTGTACATTAACAACTCCACTCAAAGCTGGAGAAATTGCTGACCTGGAGAGCTCATAGATTTTTTACCTCCACTCAATAAAACATTAAATTATTGGGACCGCCTAAAAAATTTTAATGTTTTCCCTAGAGCGCAGGTGGGAGAGATACATAATAATTTACACTTGGAAAATATTTGAAGGACTGGTTCCAAATCCACATACACAAATAATACCACATAAGACCAGAAGGCATGGCAGAATGTGCAAAATAGCCCCACTGAAAAGCAGAAGTACAATTGGTATGCTAAGAGAATTAAGTACCTTCAAAGGATACTTGATCAACCAGGCTGTGATTCGTATATCAGGCTTCGAGCAGCCGCATCAAACAGCCTGGTTGATCAGACCAGCAACCAGGAGGCATGATCAAAGGTTGGGCCGTGGGTACATTGATCCTTGAAATCAATAACAGGTAACAGGATTAGCAACTAACCAATTTTAGACAATTCTCGGAAGCACCCATGACAGGAGTAACAGTGATATTTTTACCTTAAACTCAGAAATATAAATGCCCTTTTATTGATGTGTTACACAAACTGGGTGTATTCAGTGTTACTGTATTTCAGAGCATATGGATAAACAAAAACCATAAGTCCCTTCAACAGGTGCTCCTGGAAGCTGTGTAAAACTAGTTAGAAGCTTAGATAGCTTGCCAACCCTTGGCAGAATCTTTGCGGCATTTCCAGGTTTGAGTTCCTAGAAGTGAGTATGGCGGATTGGATAGAGGAATAAACTGGCAATCGGGTGAAAAAAAAATGGGTTATGAGTACAAGCCAGGGTAAAAGCTCTTTATACTGTATTACATTACACTATTACTAATTTTATTTAATTGTCGATTTATTCACCCATGTTAGACTAACCTCATCATTCAAGACGACGGTAAGGTTCCGAGTGGACAAGTCAACTGCCAGACAGATGTGGATAGGGTAGAAGACATCAAAGGTCATGAGCTTCCTCCAGGCCAGCAGGTCACAGCAGGTGAAATACAGAGATGAGTAGCTTGTGTCTAATACTGCAGCAGGATCAAATGTTACATCATAATTTTAAGCTAATTATACTATTATTTAAATACAAAAGGACCTTACTAACATTGTTTCAATACTGTAGTACCATTGAAAGTAAGGCATTTAGCATCATCACGAATCTGATGATACAGTATCTGTAAATTTTAATCAGGATGAATGTCACAGTTATTATTTTGATCACTATACAGTGGAACCTCAGTTGACGATTGCCCTAGAGGACGAATTTGTTGGTATACGACATCAAATTCATTGTAAAATTTGAATTGGTGTACAACGATTTACTTGGAAGATGATGTCTGTTCGTACGCGTATAGTCTGTACTGTCCTAGTTGTATGCAGGCAAAACGTAGGAGAGAGAGTACCCCAGAAAAGTCATCACTGCCTGATGTTATAATGGAAAGGGACTCCCCCTTCCAAACACTAACACCTCTCCTCCCCTCTTCCAAATTTTTGGTTGACCACACGTCTCTGGGAATGGATTACAATTGTAAACGAAGGTACCACTGTATTTGTATTTTATTTGAATTAATAATAAAATCTGTTATAGATTCAGCTACTCGGAACAAAAAGTTCCAAGCAGCATGGTTTATGGTGAGCCCGTTGTACATAATAGTACATAATAATACAAAGAAATGACAATGGCATGAAATATCAATGAGAGAAACCTGGTTGTGGCACCAGCTGGGGTCTCCAAACTGTGGACTTAGTGGATTCCTGCTTAGTGGACTCTACTGATTCTAATTGTCAAGGCAAGCATCTGATATTCAGGATGCTGGTTCAAATCCCCACACTGCTCCAACTGATTTTCTCAACAATAATATTAATAATAATAAATAATAATAATGATGATTATGAGAAAATTGAAGCAATGAGGTGACTCGAACCAGCAATCAATTAACTCCCATCCGTGTACCGTACCCCTGTACCATGACTTTAAATAAGTTATACAACTTGGGATTCCACTGAATCCACAGGATTTCTGGAGATTTCTACTGAAGCCAGTCCAAGGTTTATTATATATATATATATATATATATATATATATATATATATATATATATATATATATATATATATATATATATATATATATTATATTTCATTGAATATGACCGCATATTCTGTATTTATTATTTTCTGGTTTAGGGCTTCTATCCCTCTAACTATTTTCTTAGCATCAGGGCTTAATTGAAATAGGAGTTCTCCAAAACTCATTTTCGTACTTTTAAGGGGAAGAAAAGAAGTGATTTACTATAGAGTGTATTACACTTATTTGTATAATTTGCACGACGTTTCGAACCTCCATGGTTCATTCTCAAGTGAACAGATCTTACAATACTAGTTGATTTTATACCCGCATTAGGTCAGGTGATAATACAATGAAGGTGAAAACATGGGGGGATACATAAGGGATAAACATAGGGGCTGCAGAAGGCTTATTGGCCCATACGAGGCATCTCCTATCTAAACACAAAGATTAATCCAGTGTAATTGGCCTGTTATGTTGGACATTGTCTTCTGTGTTGGCATCGATGCCAACACAGAAGACAATGTCCAACATAACAGGCCAATTACACTGGATTAATCTTTGTGTTTAGATAGGAGATGCCTCGTATGGGCCAATAAGCCTTCTGCAGCCCCTATGTTTATCCCTTATGTATCCCCCCATGTTTTCACCTTCATTGTATTATCACCTGACCTAATGCGGGTATAAAATCAACTAGTATTGTAAGATCTGTTCACTTGAGAATGAACCATGGAGGTTCGAAACGTCGTGCAAATTATACAAATAAGTGTAATACACTCTATAGTAAATCACTTCTTTTCTTCCTCTTAAAAGTACGAAAATGAGTTTTGGAGAACTCCTATTTCAATTAAGCCCTGATGCTAAGAAAATAGTTAGAGGGATAGAAGCCCTAAACCAGAAAATAATAAATACAGAATATGCGGTCATATTCAATGAAACATGTTTGAAAGAAAACCTGCTGCCAGTATACACCAATATTATATATATATATATATATATATATATATATATATATATATATATATATATATATATATATATATATATATATATATATATATATATATATATATATATATATATATATATATATATATATATATATATATATATATATACACACATATACATATTATATATTTTATTACACACACACACACACATAGGTGGGTACGAGTACGAGTGGACTGCGGCTTCCTGTTAGCAGGCTGAAAGATTTCCCTTCCCATAGCCTTACCCACTAGTTTCCCTGGAATACAACCCACTAATCATTTAACTACCAGCTACCCAGTCACTGCTAGTAAAACAGAGGCATACAATTAAGGATTGGTGCCAAGTCAATCCTTCCCAGCCAAGATACAAACCCAGGCCAAAGTGCTCATGAAGTGCAGGGTGAGTGTGCTACCACTGTGCCACGGGGACTGCTATAAACCCCGAACACCTCTTGCCTCTAATTTAGCTTCTCAATGTAAATATTATGTTAGTGTGCCTTCTTGGTGTTAAAGGTAATTATAATGATAGGGTTTCCAAACAAACATACTAGACCACATGGCTACAAATTATCTAATAAAGACAAAATACTATTGTGGCAACTATTGAGGACTTCCGTAATGGGTTGATTTGGTTCCAAGTAATGTTTGATGAATCAATGAATACAGTAAACGGCATGAAGTGTAGAATCGTTAAATAAACTTAAACTCATTTTATTTCTCATTATTGAAGAAATTGTATTACTATTGTAATTTTATCTGGACGTACCTGGTTGATTGGTTGGCATGTTTTTTATTTCAATCTTACATGCCGCTGCTGCTTGGGTTCCCCTCCTTCCCCTCCCGATTTGCCCACACTCATTGTGCTCATTCTTACAGGACTGCACTCCACGAAGTTCCCTGCTCAATGCTGTACACCAAGTGGAAGACGAGTGTTGCAAAGGACCAACTGGCACCTGGGGGGCGAACTCTGCTACCACTCAAGAGGTGCAGGCTGTCTTATCACATCCCCACCTCACTGGGTTATCCCTCTGATGACTCTACCATCTGCAGCATGTGCAACACCCAGATGCACAAGCTCCATGCTGCCTCTGGAACACCCCCTCCCCTCTCGCGGGCAACTGGAACACTATCAGGCGGATACTAAAGCAACTGCAAGAGAGTTTGGCAACTTCCCTGTGGGCCCACAGGGAAGCTGGCAAAGACTCATCTATGTGATGCTATACACAAGGAAGACAGTGCTGTCCTACCCACAGGAACGACTGGCCTCAGGCCAGGCCAGGCTCGGAGAGTAGAACAACTCCCAACCTTCTACAGATATGCTTCATGTATGCCTGACCATACAAGCAAATGCAAGAGGATGGCCATGCAACTTCCACTTGGCATGTGAACAACACTCACAGCCTCCCTATAGCATAACACAATGCATATATGAGATCAACTGGGCCGAGTATGTGAACTACAGCCAGAGGTACTTAAAACCAAAGAACCTTCTCGCAGTTCTCTCACTCCTCATGGTCAACTTCTTGCAATGGTCACTAAACCAGGGCCTCAGCTAGTGCATCCTGCACTCCTACCTCTGTGCCATAGCCTTCATACACAAGCTACATGGATATCCAGACCCCCCGCAGTCCTTCATTGTCACCCAAATGCTGAAGGCGGGCCAAAAAACAGTGACAAATGGGCCCCCACACCATCTCTTCCAGAGTTTAGTGGACTCTCTCTGTAGGCAATACTTCAGCAGCTATGATGTGGTATGCTACATGGTCTTCCTCTTTGCCTTTCATGCCAACCTATGTGGAAGCGTGGGAGTCACCATGCAGTGTAGCATCCACACTGTGCCTTTAACAGCTTTGCATCTTCCAAACATATATTACACTCTTCTTCCACTACTTTAAGCACAACAGGGACAGATGCCCTTCCCCTTGCCTCAGATCTTCCACACTAGCTCCCAACTACCTAGTGTAGGCCCTGCAGAATTTCTTCATTCGGAGAGGCACCCATCCTGGCCCCTTTCTTCTCATGCACAGATGGGATATTTGGTCAAGCACGTCAATTTCATGCATGCCCTACCCACAGCCCTGGGGTCCCTCTGCATCACACCACAGGGTTGTGCCATCCTCACCTTCTAAATTCGCCATGTCATGCAGATGTGGTACAACAATCTTCCCTTGGATCTCATCAAGTCAGTGGGGTGATGGGACAGTGGGACTGTCCCGTCACGTGTTGTCAGTGGGACAACATGTACATTAGGCCGTTCTTAAATCTCCTGCCTTGGTGCAGCATGCTCGTCTGCCCTGTCCTGGTGGAATGGGGGGTTCCATGCCAGCTGACCTGGCAGGTGGGGAGGCTTCACTGTAACCCTTTCCCTCCCCATCATCATTCTACAAGTCATTGTTGTATCCAATGTTATCACATTTTTACTTTATATATTATAAAAATTTTCCATGTATGCTACATGCACTATATATTAATTGACACTTGGTTTGACATGTAAATCATTTTAATTGCCAGTTAGTGTTATTTGACACTCTTGTGTGTGCAGCATTTGGTACTATTGTTATCACTTTTAATGTTACATTGTTTATTATTATTACATTGCAATCCATGGCTTCAAACATTAATTTGCAACATTTTCAATATAGTGTAAAAATAAAATTAAATATTTATTCCCAGTATGGTGTTTTTCTCACACCTTCGAAAAAATGAACTGAAGCAACTTTTTCACAGTCATTTATGACATATGTAAACGAATATATGTGTTAATTAATATGAACTATCTTGCTCTTGATCGACATAGCTCTTATGGTCAAATGTAGTTTCTAAATAAAATCATGAAGTGTACTGGCCTTGACATGGTTGAATGCAATGCACTTAGGACATTCTTATTACAATTCCTTCTTACTAACCGATGAGGAACTCGTTGTCGGTGCGGAGGGTGGAGTAGGAGACCAAAGGCACCATGCGGCGCAATCGGCGGAGTGTTAGATGAGTGCAGAATGTTACCTGGAGTAAATATTTTATCATTATTTTATTGAAGTAATAATATTTAACAAAAATGTAATTATCTTATTTATACTAATAATGATATATATGGGCTATGTTGTCATTGTGCCCTGTAATTAATGTGTAAGTTTCCCAATTATGCATGTACAGCTTTATGAATAAAAGATTTATGAAAAACTTTTTTGAATTAATAAATAATAATATGGCACAATGATCATAGAGTCTGGCACAATCTTTTTCATATTTGTGGCTTTATTTAATATGAATTGTTTGTAAGAACCAATTAACCACTGAATCATGTTAAATATTTATTAAATAAAATTCACTGTCACACAAGTTAATAACATGCCGAGCCATTGTGGATAACCTTGTGCATAATAAAGTTACACCTGAAATTCATTTGCAAGACTGTTTGTATAGGCAACACAAGCTTTAATTGATCCAAGTTTATCCATGTGTTGACAATGCAGCAGTAGTTTTGATTTGATCAAAGTGAAAAAACATTTGCCTTTAGAGTGCTTGGCCAATCGCAGTGCATCATCAGGGACAAAAGTGACCAATCACATACCCTACTGAGGTTATGTAACCAATCACGTTACATCATCATCTGACGTTTTAAACACAAGGCGTTTAACCATTCAAAACTCGTGGAATGGAAAATTAATCCCTCATTTTAATTTAACCCCTCAAGCCTCCATATCTTTCCCTCAGGAAAAGCCGGTGGAAGCTTTGCGTCTCTCCCTCGAGGGAGAAAGATCCTCCACGTCTGTCCCTCAGGGGGAGGGAGAGAACCTCCACGTGTGCTCCTCAGGGGAAACAACAATCTCCACATCAGTCCGTGAGAGGAAGAGAGAACCTCTACGTCTGTCCCTCAGGGGGGGGGGGAGGAAGAAACAGAGACAGAGACAGAGAGACAGAGACAGAGACAGAGAGACAGAGACAGAGACAGAGAGAGAGAGAGAGAGAGAGAGAGAGAGAGAGAGAGAGAGAGAGAGAGCCAGCCTCCACGTCTGTCCCTCAGAGGGGAGAAAACCCCCCACGTCTGTCCATCGGGGTAAGAAAACCCCTTCGTCTGTCCCTCAGGGGTGTCCATTTATTTATTTAATTATTTTTAACAAGAAGTTACTTTGGGAGTTTACAGAGAATATAGAAAATAAGTTGAATTAACATTCTTGTAAACCCACTAGCACGCATAGCGTTTCGGGCAAGTCCTTAAACTAACAGAATCGAGTACATTGGATCAGCTTCATCCTATTGAAGGCTCGTAGTTTAGTTTTAAGAAATCTTGGTAGTTCTCAGTAAATTTTAATAATTATTCTATGAATTATTATCTGTAAATATTTCAATTGTAATATATATATTTCAAATTAAGATATATACAATAGATTATGCTCTATACAGATTGAAGAAAATGCATCATATATTATGTATTGTAGAAAACGTATGGAGTAGGGTATACTACACAACCGACCACAGGATGAGTATTGGGTCCAATGCTACCAGCATATGTACTCTGTATCCCCGCATGTAGTCTGTTCCACCACGTGCACCTTGCACTACTTCCATATGAAACTGGAGGCAAAACTCTGCTGGGTTATAAAATCATCCTTAATTGCTCTCAACTCTTTAAGACATAACTGTAACATGCTCGTGTCCGAAGCTAGACACAAATACAACAAAATTATTAAGGATGGTAACAGAGTCCATTTCATCTGGTCTCCATCTCATGTTGGCCTCCGAATGCATGATAGAGCTGATAAGTTAGCCAAAGAATCTGGCTCACTACCACCTGTTGGATGGGTATGGGCTCCACTACCACCTGTTGGATGGGTATATGGGCTCCACTACCACCTGTTGGATGGGTATGGGCTCCACTACCACCCATATGATGGGTATGGGGTCCTCTACCTCCTATAGGATGGCTATGGAGTCCACCATCAACTGTAGGATGGGTATGTGGCCTACTACCGCCCACAGGATGGCTATGGTGTCCAATACTGCGCACTGGATGGGTATGGGGTCAACTACTACCCGTAGGATGGGTTTAGGGTCCACTACCATCTGTAGAATGGGTATGGGGGCTCATTACCACCCACAGGATGGGTATGGGGGTCCAATACCACCCACACGATGGATATGGGGTCCAATACACCACCCACACGATGGGTATGGGGTCGACTACTGCCCACAGGATGAACCTCCACGTCTGTCCTCAAGGGAAGAGAGAACCTCCACGTGAGGAGCCTCAATGCTTGTCCCTCAGGGAGTGGGAAGCCGCATGTCTGTACCGCAGGGAATGGGAAGCTTGCCAGTATTTCCCTCAGAGAGTGGGAAACTTGCATGTCTGTACCGCAGGGAGTGGAAGGAAGGAGTTTCCGTGTTTGTTTAATAATATGACTACAAGACTGCCATTGTTTGACATACAATTGTAAATATTACAAACCACTAAGCTGGTTGCCTCAATCACCGCTGGACACAACATTCATATGCAGGGTAAGTAGGCGGTTGTCCACAGAAGGCAAGCATTTAATTTATAATATAAATAGAAATGATAAAATATTTACCAAAGCCCTCGATTCGCACTTAGGTAATTGGTAGAGACTCACCTGAGTCATGGTACTCACCTGAGTCATGGTACTCACCTGGGTCATGGTACTCACCTGGGTCATGGTGCTCACCTGGGTCATGGTACTCACCTGGGTCATGGTGGGGATGGGCGGCCCCTGCCACCAGAGCCAGGAGTCATTGCGGGGCCACAGGTCAGCCTGGAAGGTCACCATCGGCACTTCCTTGGCCCACAGTCCTGCAGTACAGATTGTCATTGATTAATTGTGGAAATTTAGGTCCCAATAATACAGTCGGGTTCGTTCTCGACTCGCAATCGGGAATTCCTGATTCGAATCCCAGGCGGGACTATTGGTTGGGCGCGTTTCCTATCACTTAATGAGTCTGTTCACCTAGCAGAAAGTAGGTATTCAGGAGTTAGTGAGATTTTGTGGGATTGCATGCTTGGGAAGACCTAGCGTGTATGAGTACACGCTGGCTGCCTGTCCCGCGACACAATGAATTATTAAATATATAGCACCTAGTGGTGCTTCGATAGGCCTGTAAGAACATAAGAATAAAGGTAAATCTAAGTTTGTTAACAAAAATAGAAATATTGTTTAGAACATATATGTCGCGATTTGATCAATCAAATGAAGCAGCTTTCATCTAAATGCTGTAGAGAAAATATTTTAATACAGGAATGTTATAATTTAATATACAATCGACTTGATAATCGAAACGGATCGAAACGTCGTCGTCTATTCAGTTTGTAGTGTGTGGTTTGGTCAACACAGGTATGTATTTTTAGCGAAAAATTTATTCATATTCCAGGTTAGATCAATTGACTGATTTAACAAATAGCAAAATGATAATCGATCGTATTAATGTTTGAGTCCTTAGTCCCAATCTTGAAGGTCAAGTTGGTCACTTCTTGTTCAGTATAGTGTGTCAACACCACCACTCCCTGCCCCACCCCCCGGCCACCACACCCTGGCCCCCCCCCCCCCCGTCACCACACCCTGCCCCCCCGTCACCACACCCTGCCCCCCCCCCCCCCCCGTCACCACACCCCGCCACACAACACGACTCACGCCCTCTTAAGTCAACCCGAAGTATATTTGGCAAACACTAGCGTCTCTCGAGAGCTAAAAAAAACAAAACACGGCAGGCGTAATAACTCACTGACGTCCGATAAACATTGTTGTGTTTGCCAAATACTTTACGGTACAAACTCATCACCACTGACGTCAGAGAATATAAAGCGATATTAGGGGCGTGGATAAACGTGTGTTAAATATTGAAATTGACTAAAATATAGATAACATGATGCATACAAAATTATTATAATCATTTATTTTTAGCGAACAATCTGTTTTTAAGTAACTATTGAGTGGTTCGTGCAAGGGTTTTAATTCGTGCCGCCCAGACCGTGCCCACAGTCAAGACCGTGCCCACAGTCAAGACCGTGCCCACAGTCAAGACCGTGCCCACAGTCAAGACCGTGCCCACAGTCAAGACCGTGCCCACAGTCAAGACCGTGCCCACAGTCAAGACCGTACCTACCGTCAAGACCGTATACCCACCGTCAAGACCGTACCCACAGCCTAGACCGGTTTACGGTTAATAAATTCTTGAAAATTATCAGCTTTTCAATTTTCGGTGAAGTCTTACATCATTATCAAATTATTTATGTTAATAAATAAATTTATATGAACATACAATAGCAAATAATTCCAATAAATCTGAAATGCCTTATACAGCTTATGGAGCAGGAGATCCTACTGCAAGACACACACACTCACACTCACACTCACACTCACACTCACACTCACACTCACACTCACACTCACACTCACACTCCTCCCTCGTGGGAAGCCCCCTTGGGAATGAGTGATCACTGTGTATTGATCTTTCAGTTCCTGGTAGAGCTAGGAATTATCTCCTCCCAAAAAAGAACTAGGAAACAAAAGGCTGGCATACCGAAAGGGGAATTATGAGGAGATGAGAAGTTTCCTAAGGGAAATACCTTGGGACACAGACCTCAGAGTTAAGTCTGTACAAGACATGATGGACTATGTCACCCAAAAGTGTCAAGAGGCAGTAAACAGGTTTTTCCCGGCCCAATAGGAAAAATCCGAGAAGCAAAAGAAGAATCCATGGAGTAATAGGGCATGTATGGAAGCAAAGGAACTGAACAAAAGGGCGTGGAGGAACTTCCGGAATAACAGAACACCAGAAAGCAGAGATACCAGAGAAACAGGAATGAGTATGCTAGTGTGAGAAGAGAAGCAGAGAAAGATTATGAAAATGATATGGCAAACAAAGCCAAGACCGAACCGAAGCTACTCCACAGACACATCAGGAGGAAAACAACAGTTAAAGGACAGGTAATGAAACTTAGAACAGGCGAGGACAGGTATACAGAGAATGAAAAAGAGTTTCGTGAAGAATTCAACAAGAGGTTCCAGAAGGTTTTAACAATAGAACAAGGTGAGGTCACTGCGCTAGGAGAGGGGGAAGTAAACCAGGCGCCCTTGGAAGGGTTCGAAATTACGAGAGATGAAGTCAAGAGACACCTGCTGGATCTGGATGTGAGAAAGGCTGTTGGTACAGACGGGATTTCGCCATGGGTACTGAAAGAGTGTGCAGAGGGACTTTGCTTACCACTCTCCATAGTTTATTGTAGGTCACTGGAGACGGGAGACCTACCAGAAATATGGAAGACGGCAAATGTGGTCTCAATGTACAAAAAGGGTGACAGACAGGAGGCACTGAACTAAAGGCCAGTGTCCTTGACTTGTATACCATGCAAGGTGATTGAGAAGATCGTGAGAAAAAACCTAGTAACGCATCTGGAGAGAAGAGACTTCGTGACAACCCATCAACATGGGTTCAGGGAGGGTAAATTTTGCCTGACTGGCTTAATAGAATTCTACGACCAGGTGATAAGGATTAGGCAAGAAAGAGAAGGCTGAGAGGACTGCATTTTCTTGGATTGTCGGAAAACCTTTGACACAGTACCGCATAAGAGGCTGGTACATCAGCTGGAGAGAGAGAGGCAGGAGTAGTTGGTAAGGCGCTCCAGTGGATAAAGGAGTACCTAAGAAATAGGAAGCAGAGATTTACGGTTAGGGGTGAGACCTCAGATTGGGGATGAAGTCACCAGTGGAGTCCCACAGGGCTCTGCACTTGAACCTATCCTGTTCCTGATATACGTATATGATCTCCCGGAGGGTATAGACTCATTTCTCTCCTTGTTTGCTAACGATGCCAAAATTATGAGAAGGATTAAGACAGAGGAGGACTGTTTGAGGCTTCAAGAAGACCTAGACAAACTGAAGGAATGGTCGAATAAATGGTTGTTAGAGTTTAACCCAAGCAAATGTAAGGTAATGAAGATAGGTGTAGGGAGCAGGAGGCCAGATACAAGGTATCATCTGGGAGATGAAATTCTTCAAGAGTCGGAGAGAAAAAGACTTGGGGGTTGATATCACGCCAGACCTGTCCCCTGCAGCACATATCAAGAGGATAACATCAGCGGCATATGCCAGGCTGGCCAACATAAGAACGGCATTTAGAAACTAGTGCAAGGAAGCATTCAGAACTTTGTATACCACATGTCAGGCTAATCATGGAGTATGCAGCCCCAGCATGGAATCCGTATCTAGTCAAGGATAAGACTAAACTGGAAAAGGTTCAAAGGTTTGCCACCAGATTAGTACCCGAGCTGAGAGGTATGAGCTACGAGGAGAGACTACGGGAATTAAACCTCACGTCGCTGGAAGACAGAAGAGTTAGGGGGGACATGATCACCACATTCAAAATTCTCAAAGGAATTGATAGGGTAGATAAAGACAGGCCATTTAACATAAGGGGTACGCGCACTAAGGGACACAGGTGGAAACTGAGTGCCCAAATGAGCCACATATTATAACTTTTTTAGTGTCAGAGTGGTTGACAAATGGAATGCATTAGGAAGTGATGTGGTGGAGGCTGACTCCATACACAGTTTCAAATGTAGATATGATTGAGCCCAATAGGCTCAGGAACCTGTACACCTGTTGATTGACGGTTGAGACGCGGGACCAAAGAGCAGAGCTCAACCCCCGCAAACACAACTAGGTGAACTAGGTGAATACATCATCGCAGCCAACAACCATAACCACAGAGCAAGCCAGACACCCATAACCCTACGCAATTATAACAACTGATTACCAGATTGAAAACAAAAATGCACAATTGGTCGCAAGTACTTGGCGACTAAAGTTACTGCTACGGAAAGTAGCGATGCCACGAGCACTAACCTGGTATAAGGTATAAGGACATTACGGCAGCAGAGACGAGGATACACTTCTTCATGGTGGGGTCAGTGGCGTGGGTAATGTGTTTCCATTCATTTATTGTGCGCCCTGTAGTTCCACAGTGAGGGTAGTGGAAATATATATATATGTCAGTGAATGTGTAAATATGATGTCTGCTGACCAGCTGTAGTTGACCGCCTTGGTAGAGGGTAGTTGCTGCGGCCGCGGCTCCCAGCTAAATGATCGTCTGCCAGACTGATTGTATGGAATGCATTTGTAAATATTGGTCAAATACTCGATAATCTAGCGGCCATTCCTCCCTGTTTATGCAACCCGTCCTCGACTCAAGTCCATTACATCCAGTGGTCGACCCCACAGAAGCGTTTATAAATTTTTACATTCTGTTCATTCAAAACAGGAATTTTCTGAAATATACATTAAATATATTAGTATATTGTGCATCTATAGGCATAGGTTAGGTTAGGTTAGGTGTTTAGGTTCTGTTGGCGATTGCTGCAACCCGTCCTCGACTCAAGTCCATTGCATTCAGCGGTCAACCCCACAGACGCATTCATATATTTTAACATGCTGTTCATTCAAAACGGGAATTTTCTCAAGTATAAATTAATATTATAATATATTGGCATATTGTGTATATATAGGCATAGGATAGGTTAGGTGTTTAGGTTCTGTTGGCGATTATTTGTATTTGTAGTACGTGGGTGAAGCATTTATAGCGTTGTGATTCGAACAAAATTCGTCAGTGAAGCACTTGTTCCGGATATGTTCGAACGTCAGCAGTTGTGAGTCGTGTGTAAACCGCTTTTCATTCATAAACAGGGGGTTTGGCGGGTGCATGGAATCACTTTTGAGTCTTTGTTTGGAGGACGGGCTGAATGGATTTGAGTCGAGGATGGGTTGTTCCATGCACTAGCCAAACTCGCTGTTTATGAATGGAAAACGGTTTACATACGAATCACAACTGATTTCGTTCGAACAGTTCCGGAACAAGTGCTTCACTGACGAACTTTGTTCGAACCACAACGCTGTAAATGCTTCACCCACGTACTACAAATATAACAGGCCGTCCTCCAAACAAAGATCCAAAAGTGATTCCATGCACCTGCCAAACCCCCTGTTTATGAATGAAAAGCGGTTTACACACGACTCACAACTGCTGACGTTCGAACATATCCGGAACAAGTGCTTCACTGACGAATTTTGCTCGAACCACAACGCTATAAATGCTTCACCCACGTACTACAAATACAAATAATCGCCAACAGAACCTAAACACCTAACCTAACCTATCCTATGCCTATATATGCATAATATGCTAATATATTATTATATTAATTTATACTTGAGAAAATTCCCGTTTTAATTGAACAGCATGTTAAAATTTATGAATGCGTCTGTGGGGTTGACCGCTGGATGTAATGGACTTGAGTCGAGGACGGGTTGCAACAAGTGTTCACTCATTGCAACACGTGTATGACTCGTGACCAATTCTCCTTCGCTGGTCGAGTTAAGATATTTACGATAGGAAGCACAGAGTATTTGGGGTGAAATTGGGTTTGGGACATGTCATTAGTGCCGTGCATCCAGGAATCTGTTTTGTTACCTTTATAGTTAATAATATACGAGAAGAAGCTAGATATTGGAGGAGGATGTTAATGCCAACGAATTTGCAAATGACCCGAAAATGGGACGCTGGATAGAATGAGAAATGTCACGGAGTTCTAGAATGACCTCATAGTATTCTGAATTTGTGCACAAGGGTGTAAATGAAATTCCTCCTAGATCAGTACATAGTCTTAAACTACAAGAGGATGATGTATTTCGTCTTTTCTTATGAGAGAGAGAGAGAGAGAGAGAAAGAGAAATTACAAAAAAAAAAATAAAAAAAGGGAAATAGTGCATTCGAAGACCAGGAGAAAATTTCGCTGTGGAGATTGAGAGGAAATTGAAAATATTGTTTATGTGACGACAGTAGAACGGGAGCGACGGGCACGAAATAGTTGGCCCTGTTGTGGCACTTCTCCTTGACACAAGCACATGAACACCCACACACACACGCGCGGGCACAAACACACACTAACACAAACACACTAAGGCACACGTACACAGAAACACAAACAATTGAGAAGTGTTTCATTCACTTGATGCCTCAGTTCACCTAGCAGTGAATAGGTAGTTATGGTAGTTCGACATGCAGTATACTGTAGGCTGTATCCTGGGGACGTACATACGTACGGGCTGTGCGTGCGTGTGTGTGTGTGTGTGTGTGTGTGTGTGTGTGTGTGTGTGTGTGTGTGTGTGTGTGTGTGTGTGTACTCACCTAGTACTCACCTAGTTGTGTTTGCGGGGGTTGAGCTCTGGCTCTTTGGTCCCGCCTCTCAACCGTCAATCAACAGGTGTACAGATTCCTAACAGATGTGTGTGTGTGTGTGTGTGTGTGTGTGTGTGTGTGTGTGTGTGTGTGTGTGTGTGTGTGTGTGTGTGTGTGTGTGTGTGTGTGTGTGTGTGTGTACTAAATATATAATAGAGAAAATAGGTCGGGAGTATAGTACATTGGCAACCAATGGTTAGAAAGGCGGGGGTCCAAGAGCTAACAGCCAGATACTGCAGGCACAAATAATATACACAAATAGTAAACCCACACACACACACACTCCTTTCTGAAGAAGATTTTTGTGGTGCGAAAGTATTTAAATTATTTTGTCATTCAATTTACTTTAGTTATTCTTGTATTCTAAGGTCACGTTTTCTGTGACATCATATCTCTCGCTAACAAATCCCTACATTAAACAACCCGCGCGAATTCGTACACCAGACGAAATCCGTCATTCGTTGGCACACAGACGCATACATATGGTCGAGTACCTCGAGTACCTCAAATTATAAAGTTTCACCGTATTATTCCAAAACACAACATCCGATATTTTAACTCGGTTCGTATGGATGTGAATTACTGAAGCTGTTTAACGCATGCTGTCATTAGGACATTTTCTAATGGTATCCATGGAGCTTATCCACTTTGCTACAAGGCCTGGGGTATGTTTCATTGAGATATATACAAGAGTTGTTACATTCTTGTACAGCCACTAGTACGCGTAGCGTTTCGGGCAAGTCCTTAATCCTATGGTCCCTGGAATACGATCCCCCGCCGCGAAGAATCGTTTTTTCATCCAAGTACACATTTTACTGTTGCGTTAAACAGAGGCTACAGTTAAGGAATTGAGCCCAGTAAATCCTCCCCGGCCAGGATACGAACCCATGACATAGCGCTCGCGGAACGCCAGGCGAGTGTCTTACCACTACACCACGGAGACTGTAGACTTCATCAAGCATACACGTGTCCGAAACTGAAGCTTCTTGCAGGTAGCCGTTCAATTCCAAACCGTCCAAGTGGTTGGGGACTGATTTTTTCCCTCCACCCATTCCTAAATCCGTATCCCTTCCAAGTGCTTTATAGTCGTAATAGCTTAGGGATTCCTCCTGATAAATACCTTACGAAACTTGTGCATCTTAACCTCGATCATGGCGGCTCTATCTGCATCTTTTCAACAGCGAGCTTCGAAAATTATTTGGACAGCCGAAAAATCTAAAATTGGACAGCCTCGTAGCGCTTGGGATTGATTGATTGAATGATGAAGATTAAGCCACCCAAAAGGTGGCACGGGCATGAATAGCCCGTAAGTGGTGGCCCTTTTGAGCCATTACCAGTATCAATAGATGATACTGGAGATCTGTGGAGGTGCGGCTGCACCCTGCGTGCCGGGAGATGTCTCCCGTCGCGCGCTTGGGATGTTGTTGTTGTTATAGATTCAGCTACTCGGAACAAGTTCCAAGTAGCACAGGCTATGGTGAGCCCGTAGTGGACTTACCTGGCACAGGAGCGGTGCTCTTGGCGCTTGGGAATTCTTGCACTGTTTATGTATGCAAACTAAGGTGACATGATTGAGAAAGATGCGCAGGACACTAAAGTGTTTGATGAATCTTTGCCCTGATGTCCACACCTGCACCAGATGCATCAATTATGTCCACACCTGCACCAGATGCATCAATTATGTCCACACCTGCACGAGATGCAACAATTATGTCCACACCTGCACCAGATGCATCAATTATGTCCACACCTGTACGAGATGCATCAATTATGTCCACACCTGCACCAGATGCATCAATTATGTCCACACCTGTACGAGATGCATCAATTATGTCCACACCTGTACGAGATGCAACAATTATGTCCACACACCGGCACGAGCTGCAACAAACATGTCCACACCTGCACGATATACAACAATTATGTCCACACCTGCACGATATACAACAATTATGTCCACACCTGCACGATATACAACAAATTATATCCACACCTGCACGATATACAACAATTATATCCACACCTGCACGAAAATAAAACGACGGATTTCCATGAATAATCCAAGCTAAAAGCGCGACAGCTTTAAGGAATTAATTTCAATGTGAAACAGATTACTTCTGAATAATGTAGCATCTTCTGAATTGATTGTTGTGTCCATGTTCTTGGTGTCAAAATTGGCCTTAATCCACACTAGTCCCCGGGTCTGTGTGTGTGTGGTGTTGGGGTAATTGATTGCCTGAGTCTTTGTCCCTGTATAAAAGTGGATTAAAAGATGTCTCTGTGAGCTGTTAGTACTTTCGGCTGGTACATTACTACTGTTGTTACTACCACCAAAAATTATAGTATTAATACTATACTACTACAAAAATGGTGATATTACTACTATTTCTCCTTTAACTTTACCTCTATTGATATTCAGTTCTCCCTTCCAGTGATCCAGGGGTAAGAACTACAGTGACAAATTTATAGAACTGGATCTCACAGCTTTGGCATAGGAAAGGTAAATGGAGTGACATGATTAAGACATGAAAGATCCTCAAAAGGATTGGCAGGGTTAAAGAAAGCCAAGTATTCAGGATGGAAAATAGCAAGACAATAGGGGCACCGGAAGAAGTTTGAGACTAAAATTAGAAAAATAGATGCAGTGAAACATTTAATGTGAGAACAGTAAAATAATAGAATAAACTGCAAGCGAAGATAGAGTAAGTTAATTCATTTCGAGTCTAATAAATTCATAAGATAGTTGAATTTTTAGCGTTAATACAATTTGTACAAGTCGATAGCTAGATATACAGGTCCCAGGAGTTGAAGACCAGCCCAGAAAGCGTAAATATACACTTAAACAAGAAAACACAATCACACCGAAATAAAGTATACAAATACACTGGTAAGGATCAAACACATGCCTCATAATTCATTAATCATAAAGAGCGG